CTCTGTGATCAGAGGGCTGGCTTTGAGGACCATGCTGTGGGTGTCGGCTTCCTCTCCCCTTATCTCAGCCCTGGGAGAGAGGGAGAGCTTGGGCCAGTCGGGGCCCTGACCTTAGGGCCTGTTATCCAGGTTCCTGGGCAAATAGAGTTGTGCCCGAGGAACTTCATGACATGGCAAGGCAGACACTCTCCTGTGCACTGCCAGGACCTCCTGAGGGAGAGCCCTACAAGGAAAACCCGGCGTTGGCAGACATCTGGACACAAGTATCCCAGATCAGCTCTAGGCCCTAGATGGCCGCTTAGAACTCTCAACACACAATCTGGGGTGGGCTAGGTGCTGGCGTCTTCATCACCAGGATTCAGCTGAGGGAGGAGGACTCGGCACCCTACTGGTGCGGAAGCTACAACTCTTCCAGCAACTTGATCGCTATGCTCAGAATTATCAACCGGTTGGTATCTCCAGGTGAGCTTCCTTCTTGAGAAAATGCTCCCCTTCCTCCCAGGCCTGGGGGAAATGTCACTCACCCCCTCAGGCACCTCCATCACTTCAGATCCCACGAGATCTTCTGCTCTGATCCAAGGAGAGTGAGGGCCCTGTCTTCCAGGAAAGGGCTCTTGCCTCTGCTCCATCTTGCCAGTCCCCACCCCAACTGCTGGGAAGACCTGCCCAGGGCTCACTAGACAGAAACCCAGAGTCTCTCTCTGTCTCTGATTCTGTTTCTCTTTTCCTTACACATATATGCCAGCAGCAATGGTGTGCAGACCTTAGGCAAAGGTCATCCCTGGCCTCATTGACCCTGAGGGACTGTATCCGGTCCCCTACCTCCTCTCACAGCTTTGGGGCCAGACCCCATTCTGTCTTCTGTGCCTCTGGACAGTTGTTATTTACTTTCTTTACTCTTTAGCCTCAACCACTTCTCCTGTGTGGACATCTACCTGGCTCCTACCAAGTACAGGTCGGTCTGGGTCTCAGTGCAGGGAGAGTGACGAGTGGCCAGGCAGCTTGGGTAACCTCAGATTTGTGAAAGGAAGCATCAGGGAGGCCTGCTTCTGGGATTTTAGCTCCTGCAGCTTAGGCAGGTGGGAAGGTACCTTCAGGGCTTGCTGGGCTTAAAACCCAGGGAGATAAACTTTCATGACCTGAATATGAAAATAGCCATGGATGGGCTGGGTGTCCTAGGAAGCGAGTCTGTCCAGGAAGACCCTGCACCTGAATGTTCCAGCCCTGCCCTCTTGCTTCCCACCAGCTCGGGGAGACACTCCTCCCCCTTGGGCCCAGTGTCAGCCTGGACTTCAGCTGATTATAAAGATCCAAGGCATCAGTTACCCCTGGCCTGAGGGAATGAGGGACCCTAAAGAGCTGGCTCTGTCCCCTTTCCACCTCCTCTCAAGGTTTTTGAAGGCCGATACTATTCTCTATTCTGGTTTCCTGAGCAGTCACTACCTTCCTCGTGTCCTCCTTAGTTCTGATCGCTTCTCCAGAGGGGACCACTTACTCCCCATCTCTCAATAGCTCTCAGCTCAGGTAGGTGAGGGGTCTCACCAGAAGGGAGGGTCCTGGAAAGGGATGGCCAGAGAGCTCATGCATGTCTCAGAGTCAGGAGAAGGGGACATAAGGATTGTTTCGAAGGTGGTTGAAGCACAGGGTGCTACAGAGGAGTCCCCAAGGCTCAGATTCAAAATTAGGGAAAGAGGAATAAAGAGGAGGATACAGGTCATTAGCTCTGAAAGAGCTGTAGAAAATCCAGTTAGACATGGGATTTTTGGAATGAGATCAAGCGGAACCAACATAATGTGGAAGCCAGAGGCTGTACTGGCATGCAAATGGTGGGTGTAGAAAGTGACCACAGATGGGCCATATGGGTAGCCATAGCAAAAAACAGTGGAGGGGACACTTTTGATTTCTGCTCTTGACTCTTGCAGTCATGAGTTTTAAGACCATCGTAACCTCCCCTTCATCGCAGAAGTAAGCTGCAGCAGCCTAGGCCACAGGTGCTCTAGGGGACTGAGTGGCCAGCAAAAGCAGTGGAGAACTAATGAAGATAGATGGTCAACTGCCTATGGGCATTTGATCCCTAACTCTTTCCTTCTCCAAATTTGAAGACAAGTGGGTTACAAACTAAAGAAGATCTCCCAGAGTGTTTAAAGGTGAAACCCTGACCAGAGGATGGGAATGGCAGCAATGTACACAAGGGGGACCATGTTGAACAAACAGAATAATTGGCCACCAGTGAAAGATAAATGTTTCAAGGAACAGAAGATATCACATCCATAAAACAAGAAAAGACCAGAATCATATTCAGAACACTGAATATCCAGCAAGGTCAGGGCATCAAGCCCTCAGAAGCTGCATCCACCATGAGCAATCTTAGAGAATTACAGTCAACAGATATACCATAAATACATGTTAGCGGTAGGTTTTTGGTAAATGTCCTTTATCAAAGTCACGACATTCTCTTTCCTTGCTGCTTTGTTGAGTGTTTTTAATCGTGAATTGGCGGTGGTCGGGGGAGTCATGCAAATGTGGGGTTTTTTTTTTTTTTTTTGCATCTATTGAGATAATCCCATAATTGTCCTTTATTCTGCTGATATGGTGAATTAGGTTGAATGATTTTCAAATGTTCAACATAGGCTTCATTCCTGATATAAAGCCCACTTGGTCATATTGTATTATATTGTTATAGACATTGATGGTTTTCATTTGCTCATGGTTTGTTAGAGATGTTTCTATCCATGCTCATAAGGTATGTACATCTGTATTTTTCTTTTCCTATAATGTCCTTGTCAGGTTTTAGTGTCAAGGATATTCTGACTTAACAAACCAAGCTGGGAGGTGTTTCCTCTATTTCCTATTTCTTTTAAGTTTATTTATTTATTTTGAGAAAGAAAGAGAGCATGACCGGGATAGGGGCAAGAGAGAAAGAGGGAGACAGAGAATCCCAAGCTGGCTCCGAGATCCACGCTGAGCCCCACCAGTGGCTCCATCTAACTGTGAGATCACGACCTGAGCGGAAATCAACAGTTGGTTGGTCAGTTAACCGATTGAGGCAGCCAGGTGCCCCTGTCTCTTCTATTTTCTAAATGGTTTCAGTAACATCGGTATTATTTCCATTTTAAGTATTTGGTGCAACTCATCAATGAAGTTGAAAGCTGAGCCTGGAATTTTGTTTGTGAGAAGGGAAATTTTACTCCATGCAAATTAGACTTTAGTTTGTTAATGGGAAAATGAATGTAAAGAAAAGGTAGAGTGCCCTGTTGTTTTGTACCTAAAAGCCTAATATATACACATTTTTCGAGATTTTGATAAATCCTTCCAAATTTTTCTCAAGAAACTTTGAATCCAGTTTATTCTTCCTCTCCCAGTGGAATGAGTGTTGGGTTTTTATAGTCTTACCGTTACAGCTATCACTGTGCTTCCAGGCAATATGTCTCCACAAGAGATCAATGGGACTCCCCCCGCCCCCACTCCTGAAGCCACTTAGCGCTGGCATGGAGGAAAGGAAGGAAGACACCATGTGCTGGGAAGGCAGATAGCCTTTGAACGCAGGGATCTGAGGACTGAGAAGACGTATTAACAAAGATGATTAATAAGCCGTGTTAATAAGGAAAGTGTAAGACGTCTTTTGCGAGCTGAGAGGTCCGGAGGGACAACTGTAGCTCATTCCTACACTCCAAATGTCTGGCGCCTCGCGTGGCGCCTAAGATTGAGCGGACGAACGAACGAATGAATGAACGGAGAGTAAGTGAAGAGAATTAAAGTTTGGAGTCAGCAAAAATCAAACGTCCTTTGCGAGTTCAAGCTCAGTTTAAGACTTGTTACTCTGAGTCCCGTCCAAGGAGAAGAAAGTCGGCATAGGTGAGTAGGGGGGGCACACATAATCCTGTAGGTCCCCTCACCCCCGAAGCAGCGGATGACACAGCTCCTGGATGTCAGAGGCTGCCCTTCTGTTTCTTAGCGCTCGGGGCTGAGTGAAGGGTGGGGTCCTGGGCCAAATGCTGGGTCATCTTGGCTGCAGCCTGGCGGCTGTCCGGGCCAGATAGGGTTGAGGGAGAGGAAGTTGAGTGGGCATGCGCGTGCCGGCGGGGGGCCGGTCCGAGCCCAGGGGCTGGGGGCGTGGCTTCTCGAGAAGCGGGGGGAGGGGAGCCTGCGAGAGGGAGGGGGCGTCCGGAGAGCTGGAGGGAGGTTAGACTGGATGGTAGGAGAGCGGAAGACAGGGATAAAAATTAGGAGACAACTGAGCAGTTAGGAGGAGACACAGCTTCTGTGTGTGTGTGTGTGTGTGTGTGTGTGTGTGTGTGTGTGTGTGTGCACGCGCGCGCGCGCCCCCACGTGTGATAGCACAGAAGCCTCTCTCTGAGCCCAAACTGTCCTGTACAGTTTGCATCTTTCCCCCCGTCGCTCTAACCGTGACAGTAATAAGACCGCATGTGAGCACGTAAGGAGTTCTTTGCTAGTGTGAGCCAGAAGGGCTATTCTGACCAGCCAGGGACCTGGCAGGGAGGGGGAGGGGCAGGGCACCAGAAGACACGCTTTGCGAGACGGCTTGCATGAATGAATGTGAGTTTACTAGAATCTCCTGGTGAATGTGTTTCGGAGAAAACAATGTGTGTGTGTATTTAGGATCCGAGGTGCCCGGCCCCAGCCCCAAGCTCCTGCCCCTGCGTCTCTGAGCCCAGGGAATCCCAGGGAGTCTGTAGCTCAGGGTCCAGAAAACTCACCCAGCCCCCTTGAGGGATCCTCTGCTTCCGACTAGGGGCCACCCCCCTCAGCCAGTTTCCGGGAGGGGTTTGGAGAGGGCGTCGAGTCTTCTGACCCTGAGACCTTCCCTGCGCTGGGGGTGGGGTGGGGTGGGGTGGGGTGGGGTGGGGTGGGGTGGGGTTGGGCGGGGGTGCCCAGACTGGGTGGAGCAGCCACACCTGCCCGAAGTTTCGAAGTTTCGGAGAAGAGGGCGTAAACAGCCCTCAGCGCCGCCCTTGCCCTCAGTAGACTCTGCGGGCCCCACGGCCTGCTGATCACAGTGGGTCCTACAACTTCCTCACTTCCCTAAATGGGCAGCTGCACTTTCAGAAAGCCAGGTCCTTCCCTGGCAGACCTAAGTGGCCTGTCCCGCAGCGGCCTGGGGCCCTAACCCCGGAGCGGGGGTGTCCTGGCCCCCTACTGGCCTGTGACTGTCCCCAACTGGATGGAGCCATGGCTCCCACATTCCTGCTGCTGCCACCGCTGCTACTGTGGCTCCAGGGCCCTGTCACAGGTGAGAGGATGGGAGGGCAGGAGAGCTGGCCTGGGGAGGGAGGGGGGGTGACCTTTTCCTAGAGCCTCCCTGCTTTCATGCTTTGTGGGGCTGGAGGAGGAGGAGGATGGGGTTGACCTGGTGGCTCCTAACCAGAGAACAGTAAGAAGGTTGCCTCCCGGTATCTGGCCCCAGGCAAAGCTACCAGAGGCCCCGCGGACTAAGATAAAGCTCCAGACCCTCTCTGGTTGGGCCCCTTCATCTGCCAGGCTTGCTCCGGACCTGTGACAGTGGACACTCAGTTTCCTCACGCGGAAAGCCTCCCTCCTGTGTTGGGAAAGGGCTGTTTGGTTCTTACAAGAATCATTGCACCACGTGTGTGTGCTTTTACTCCCTAGGTTGTTTGTGCCACCACCACCCCGTCCCCAGCCCCATGTCCTGAGTGGAAGCGGTTTCTGAAGGCCTCCCCCACCCCAGAGAATGCTCCTAGAGGGGGCTTCACCCATTCCTGCCTCCCTTACTGCCATGGCAACCAAATTACTGTTTCCCGTTCAGTTCTGGCAGCCACCTGTCAGAGGGGTGGAAGGGGGGCACAAATGAATGCAGCACCCTGGAGACCCTTTCCAAGGGCACCCCACCCATGCACCTCCCCTAGCGAGGCCCCTCCTACTCCTTCTGTGTGCAGCAATCCTAGGGTCCCCCAAACCTGCCGCTCACCAAATAATTTAGTTCGATCATTCCTTTTAGTTTGTGCAGGGCAAGGTGCTGCTTAGAGAGGGTGTTACCTTACCCCGAGCCTCAGCTATCCTGCAGCTGGGTTGGAACCAGGCAGATATTTCAAGTCCTGTGCCATGTCCTTGGCTATCACAGCTCTGGGCTCTACTGGAGAAGTCTGGCTGCATTTCAGAAACGGAAACACGTGGCGCACCCGCTGCATACCAGATGCTGTCAATGGTAGAACCAGGCTTTTAACCCATATATTTTTAAAATTTTTATATTTTATTATCATTACTATTTTTTATTTTAAGAGGGGGAGGAAGGGGCAGAGAGAGAGGGAGAGAGAGAGAAATCCCAAGCAGGCTCCCCGCTGTCATCGCAGAGCCCGACACAGGGCTCCATCCCACGAACCGTGAGATCATGACCTGAGCTGAAATCCAGAGTCAGAGGCTCAACCTACTGAGCCACCGAAGCGCCCACCCATATATTTTTAGATTCCTCAATATGTGTGCTCTCTACTCTGTCCTGCTGGGGAGACAAGCGTTTGTGCATGTGCAGAAGGCTCTGGGGGTGTGAGAGGAGTAAGTACTGAGCTTACCGTGGGCAGAGGGGTGGAGGGAACCCACCACAGCTTTCTCCCTGTCCCCTGATTGCCCACCCCCACTCCTAGTTCCACTCTCTTCCCGCCAGGCTGTGGATTGTGAAATGCACAAACCACAGCTTATTTCTAGGCCAAGACTGTAACATGCTATAGACGGACAGTGAATTCTTCAGTTTGCGCTCCATTGAGAATTTAGATGCATGTTTGGGCATTTGTTATCTATGGCTTTTGTGCAACTAGAGCGTTTTAAAATGAAATACCACCTAAAATGAACTAAGAGCCCTTGCTATGTCTTTGGGACTAATTTTTAATCTGAAGATTTTCAAATACTGGATGTTCTTATATACCTGAGTCGCTTGTGTTCAGGAATTTTATAACTCAGTGACTTCTGCTGGTGTCTGTGCGTCTGTCTCACTGTGCCCCTGAATCAGTACCTCTGTCTCAAAGACCTGGGTCTTTCCCACATGGCCCTGAAACTGGGGTTTGTTAGTACCTTCCCACTGGGCTAGAACATACCATGAAGAAAGGAGCTGTGTCAGGTGGCGCTCCCTGAGTGGAAGGGGTGAATCTCCTCCATTAGTCAGGGGCTCCCTGACAGCTGTGCCTGTGTCTCCGCCATCAGACTGGGACTTCCCTGAGGGCTAGTCCTATATCTTTCTCTCCATTCCAGGACTCCCCAGGGGCCCAGGACTATTATCTTCCTCGTCAGTTTGGGAACTCCAGAGGGCTGGGCTGGTGTCTACTCCAAATGACTGGAGGCTCCCTGAGGGAGTGGCTGGTGTGTCTCCCCCCTCAGACTGGGAGCTAGCTGTTAGCAGTGCCTGTGCGTCTCCCCTATCTGACTAAGGGAGCTCTTTCAGAGTAGGACTGGGTCTCTCCCTGAAACCGCTCCAGGCAATATCCACGTCTTCTCCCTTCACCTTGACCTTCGAGAGGCTTCCCTCCCCTTCTCTGTCCAGACCTCACTTACCAGTAGTGTCTCCCCAGGTGCCCCAGGTGTCCCTGCTGAGAACGTGTACACTAAAGTGCAGCACCTTGAAGGGGAGACTCTGTCGGTGCAGTGCTCCTACAAGAGCCGCAAAAACCACGTGGAGGGCAAGATATGGTGCAAAGTCAGGAGGAAGAAGTGCGAGCCTGGATTCACCCGGGGCTGGGTGCGGGGACCGCGCTACCTGCTGCACGATGACGCCAAGGCCAAAGTGGTCAAGATCACCATGGCGGCCCTCAGGCACCAGGACTCGGGCCGGTACTGGTGCATGCGCAACAGCTCGGGGACCCTGTACCCTCTGATGGGCTTCCTTCTGGAGGTGTCTCCAGGTGAGCAGGCCCGCCAGGGCACGGGAGGGTAGAGGGTGTCCTCTCTGCCCCGGACTCTGTTCACATCAGATATAGTAAGAAGAATAATCCATCCGTGGGCGTCGTGTGCCATAGGGCTGTGACAATTTTTACTGACACTTTCATGGGCATTATTCTTACCAATGAAGAAAATGAGATCTAAAAAGCCCTCTGTGGATCTCACCTTGTCCAGGGTCCCAGAGCTAGCAAGTGGCAGAGACAGGATTCATACTCAGGGCTCTGTGTGCTTTGTTTTTATTCCATCTTCTGTTCAGTATATATTCACTGAGGCCCTACTATGTGCCAGGGACGATTCTAGGCTCTGAGGACAGAGTGGTGAGCAAAAACAGACACAGCCCTGCCCTAGGAGAGATGATAGGCAATCACACATTGTCAGCCAAATAACTGTAGGTAATAATAAATCCTCTTAAGAAAATAAAGCAGTTTAGTGTTTTATTCAGGAAATCAGTGGTGGAGGGAGCCGTTGAGGTGCTGGAGACCAGAGAGGACCCTCCTCCTGAGCAGATGACATGCAGCAGAGCTCAGCATGATGAGAGCTTTCTAGCCCTGTTGAAATGTGGGTGCTTCAAAGGGTATTCTAGGCCAGGAGCACTGCATGTGCAAAGGCCCTGAGGTAAGAAGGAACTAGGCCTATATAAGGAAGGCCTATGTGGCTTGTCCATATTGAGTGTGGGGCAGAGTGGCAAGAGATGAGGTTGGAGAGTCAAACAGCAGACCTAAAGTCTCGGATGTGAAGTTTGAGTTTTATTCTAAGTACGATAGGAAGCTATTGGAGAATTTAGAGGGATGTGTTGTGGCTTGTCTTTAAGAGTCTAATGGCTGCTTTCTGGAAGATGGATTGTGGAAGGGTAAGAGATGGGCACAGAGACTTCTTTGGGTGTTCTGGCTGAGAATGACAGTGTCTTGGAGTAGGACGTGGGCCTTGAAGGTGGAGAGAAGTGGGAGGGGGGGCTCAAATCTATGATGTTCAGACTTCCTGCCCTCTGTACACTTTGGAGGTAAGACGGGATTTGCTCGTGTGGGAGGTGAGCAAAAGGGACGAATCAAGAGTGACCCTAAGGCTTTCTATTCCATCAGCGAGTGCATGACGGCACATTTACTGGGTAGGGTGAATCTGGAGAGGAGCTGGTTTGGAAGAGAAATACCAGGAGTTGTATTTTGTCATGTTAAGTTTAAGATGCCTCCTAGGGCCCCAAGGAGCAGGCAGCAGATATAGCAGCCTGGACCTCAGGTGTGTGGTCAGAGCTGGGGATATATTTGGAAGTTTCTCGATGAAGAGAGTTTAAAGTCTAGGGGATTTGAGAGATCTATACAGACAGAAAGCAGATTGGTGGTTGTTTATGGCTGGGGGACATAAAGGGGAAGTTGAGGAGTAATAGCTAAAGGGGTGAGGAGATGATGTAAATATTCTAACATTGGCTGTGGTGGTGGTTGGAGGTCTCTGTGAATATACTAAAAAGCAGTGAATTTGGTGCTATAAATGGGTGTGGTATATGGAATGTGAATAGTATCGCAATAAAACTTTAAAAAATCAAAGGAATGTAGGGGTGCCTGGGTGGCTTAGTCGGTTAAGCGTCCGACTTTCGCTTAGGTCATGATCTCGCGGTTCGTGGGTTCAAGCCCCGCGTCGGGCTCTGTGNTACTAAGATTTCAAGTGCCATAGTCAGATAATAATCAGTGTTACTTCCAAGAAATATTAACAAAGTAATGTCCTTACCTAATTTTTGTTCCCTGGGTTTTTTTTTTTTTACAGGTTTTTATCAAAGATAGATTCATTTTGGGGTGCCTGGGTGGCTTAGTCGGTTAAGCATCCAACTTTCGCTTAGGTCATGATCTTGCGGTTCTTGGGTTTGAGCCCCGCGTGGGGCTCTGTGCTGATTGCCCTCTCAGAGCCTGGAGCCTGTTTCAGTCTGTGACTCCCTCTCTCTCTGACACTCCCCTGCTCACGCTGTCTCTCTCTCTCTCTCTCCTAGAAATAAATTAATTAATTAAAAAAAAAATCAAAGGAATGTAAAAGCTCTCCCCTGAGTGTAGAAAAAGAGAGTAGGGCCAAGCCCCGAGATCCCTCCAAATGTATACGGTAGGAAAGGGTGAGGAACCAGCAGGAAAACCTGAAAAAAAGCAGCCAGTGACGATGAAATGTGTTGCCCACCCTTCCCCAGTCCCCTGATCCCTCTGACTCTCCCTCTTCTGTGGGACTGAGCCGGGGCTCTAACACGTGGAGAAAAATCTCGTTCCCCGTCTCCAGTTCTGCTTCACACCCAGGGAACAGTGGAAACCTGTGTACGGAAGTCTTCGTTTGCAGGGATCCGAACATGAAATGCTTTCGTTTTTCTCTTTGCACACCCCCTCCCCCGCATTGTGACATCTCATGTTCCACCTCTTAAAGGCCATTTGGGGAGATCCCAACTTTGCAGGACTTTTCAGTTATTAGGAAATTTAACAATCCACAGCCTGTTTAAAAACTCTAATCTTCTAGCAATATATGCCCCTCCTCTCCTTCTTGAAGACCAAGGCACCTGGAGTGGGGAAGGGGGTAGCCTGCTGCCTAACTCTCTCTCCATCTCGGCAGGTGGGGGGAAGGAGGGGACTCTCCTGGCCATCCCCTGACAACACCCCCCCCACCCCACCCGGAACACTGAGGCAGGGACGGAGGCAGGGAAGTGGTTGTGTGTCTTCATTGCCCGCTGTAGGAGTCCTCTCTCTGTCAGATGTCACTCTTTTCCACACAGCCCTTTGGGATCCTCTGTGAGGTGGGTGTCCAGATGCTGGCCCTCCCAAGGGAGTGTGAGTTCCCTGGAGGGTCTTTGGGGGTGTCTCCACTGCTGAGTAGGGCGATGTGGGAGATCTGGCTTTAGGTCAGCCTCTTCCCCTATCCCCACTCTCACCAATGCTGCTTGTTCTGGCCTCCCTTACCCAGAAAGATCAGCACCTTCCATGGTGGCCATGTCACTCTTAGGCATGTGTCCATGCCATGCACAGGCATGTCATTGGCAGCCCATGTCAGCCCTCTCTCTCCCTCACTATCTCTCTCCAATTCCCTAGTTCTCTGTGGATATAGGCCCCACCCTGCTCCAGATGGGACCTGGAGCCTCCTACAACCAAACACCATCCAAACACCAGCCTTCTAGAAAAATGAGATGTAAAAGGCTGAGGTGATGGGCGAGGTGTCTCTTCGCAAGTCCCTGGGGAGGGCATCTAACCCTGCTGCTTGAGCTGTTCTGTGGAATTTGGGCCTTTGATGCTTCCCTGTGTGTGTTTTTCTAAGTGTATTTGTTTATTTTGAGAGAGACAGAGACTGTGTGAGTAGTGAGGGGCAGAGAGAGGAGAGAGAGATTCCCAAGCAGGCTTGACTTTGCCAGCGCAGAGCCCGACACGGGGCTTGAACTCACAAATCTGTGAGTCCACGACCTGAGCTGAAATCAAGAGTCGGATCCTCAACTGACTGAGCCACCCAGGTGCCCCGATCCCTCCCTGTCTGCACCCTGGCTCCTATCCAGCAATTATGGAGCACCTGGAAAAGTCCCTGTTCAACATCGTAGTGAAAATATGTCTTTGGCCTATGGAAATGAGGAGGGTCTGGGAGTGACTAGAGAGATGGGGACAGGGAGGAGAGTGTCCCCTGGGCCCAGGTGGCCTGATGGGGCAGGCTAAAGAAACTGAAAAGTGTCTTCCTTTTCCCGGACCAACAGCTGGTCACTCAGCAGAGCAGAGCCCTGAGTGCAAGATCAAAGAGGGGAGATGAGGATCTGCTCCCCTCTGCGAGGCCCCCACCCCCTCTAACGTTCCTCCCTCTCTGGCCCCTCAGCCTCCACCACCAAGAGAAGTGCTCCTCTTACACAGCTGGCCAGTACCCTCCAGAATGGAATTGTCATCACCACGGGCCCAGCCCCCACCTCAGGCCCCGATGCCCCTTTCACCACCAGTGTGACAGTGTTCACACCTGGTCTCTTCACCTTGACCAGACTCGTGCCCTCCGCCGCCTCAGGGTCCATCAGACTGACCTCCATGACAGGCTACAGCTTCACCGGCCCTGGCTCCTCTACCACGGGGCCTGGGAGGACCGTGGGGTCCCAGACGGTGACTGTGTCCCCCAGCGATGCCGAAGTCTCCTCTGCCAGCCCAGCGTCCGTCTCCACCAACGCTGGGCACCTGGGCACCCAATCCCCCACCACGGGAATGTGCCATACCAGCGGGTCTCTCATCGACAAATTATCCCCTACCAGGTACCCGTGGGCCCTGGGGTTGAATGACGTTTGACCAGATTCGGCGACTATTCTTGGTGCCTGAACTTGGAGCCGACCTTCCCTTTCAGGAGGTCGGTCTGGGCCGGAAGCGGAGATGGAGCGGTGCCCTAAGGGATGGCAGTGGGAAGTGAGGGCTGAGGAGGGGTGGGCGTAAGAATCTGTGGATGAAGAGGGGAAGGCAGGGGAAGGACAAGGGGGTGCCTTGGGGGTAGGAAGTGGGAAGTGGGGGATGCTTTAAGTTGGGTTCCCCCGGAAGCAACCTCTGGGACCAGGAATGCTGGAAAGAGGGTGGGGAAGTGAGACAAGGGAGCAGCCAGTAGAGAACCCAATCAAGCCGCCGCCAGTGTGGGCAGCGGAGCTCAGCCCCTGGGGGGCCTGGGCCCCAGCATCAGATGCCCACCTGAAGGGCAAGGGAGCTGGGATCTTCATACACCTGCTCTCCTGGTCATCCGTAGAGGGCTGCCTGACTTGGGTGGCAGAGCGGGCTCTAGTAACAAGAGAAAGTCCCCAGGCCAAAAAATATTTCAATAGAGATGCTGAGGGCTGGTGCACACGAAGTGCTATCGGCAAGGGGTTACAGGCTGTGCCCCTACCGCATCAGCTACAGAGGACAGCGGAGAGAAGGGCCCGAGAGGCTCCCACTGTGAGGACAGCAAGACTCTCAATCTCCTCTGTCACAAGTGGGGGTCCCTTACAGTCCTCGTCCTCCGTGATGAGCAGGTTTGGGGGAACAGTGGAGGAGAGGCATCAAAGCGGAGAGATGCTCCCCCTGACCTGGGGTTCTTCTGAGCTCCTCACTTCCTGCTGCCACAGCTGGGTTCCCCGAGGAAGGAAGGGAGGCTGTCACTCCAGCCGGGGCTGTCGGGATTTCTCCAGGTCGGGCTCCTCTCGTGTGGCATGCAGGAAGACAGAGGTAGGAGAGGAGAAAACCAGGTGCTCACCTCCTCCCCGCTCCGTCCTGTCCCTTCAGGCACCAGGATTCATATGGCATTGTGTTCCTGGGAGTGTTGACCTTCCTCCTAGCATCTGTGATGCTGATCATGGTCTATGGGTTCTGGAAGAAGAGACACATGGGAAGTGAGTACAGCCCCCCGCCCCCACCCCAGCCTCCTGAGGGCAGAGCACTGGGGCAAAGCGCCTGACTGCACTCCGTTCCCGGGCGGTGTGTCCTCACCTGTGTTGGGCCAGAAGGACCGCTTGGCACCCAGGGGAGGGAGGGGGGTGGGTGGGGCTGAGCCTGCAGTAATTGGAGAGCAGAGCCAGAGGAGGGGGTGGCCTGGCCCAGGAGCATGGGGGGACGGGAGTGCCGGAGCCCTGTGCTTCTGCATCTCTGGCCCTGTTCTCACAGGCTACAGGGTGTGCAGCAATCCTCCGAGAGCCTGGAGGGACCCGCTGGGAAGCCCGGAGCCCCCACAGAAGCCTGCCTGGACTGAGGCCACTTAACTATGGAGTCGGGAAGCTGCTCCTGGAGGGGCCTGGGAGGCCAGGGAGTTTGAAGATGGGGGCCTGTGTGAACTGGAGCCAGGCCAGTGCTGGACTCAGGCGTCCCCAGAACTAGACGCTGCTCTTGGCCTGTCCCCTTGGGCCGCCAGGAACCTGGGAAAGCACTCACAATGGAGAGCCCCTGGCAGGAAGCAGCAGGGGAAGCCGCCGACGGGATTCTGCTCCGAGCCACAGAGTCCTGGCCTCCGGATGCGTGGCCGAGAAGCCCCGTAGAGGGCTCAGCTCCCGTGGGCCTCAGAACCTCTCCGATGGAGCAGAGGGGAGCAGGGGGGTGGGCCGCTGTCCCCTCCCCATCGCAAACCCTGTGTCCTCAGCCTCCTTCTGCTCCTTTCAAGCTTCCCCAAATGCTTGGGGAAGACAAAGTCCCAGAGGCAGCCGGTGTCTCAGGGGCCCCATCCTGGAGGAGAAGAAGGAACCGTGACTAAGAGTTGGAGATCCACATGGGCTTGGCGGCAGGGGCCCCAGAGTGGCCCAAGCCCCCGCGCCCCACCCCACCTTTGGGGCCCTGCATCCTCTGATGGGCCTCTGGATGTGCCCCGCCTTGACCGAAGCTGCCTGACCCTCAAGTCCTGGGAGCCAGCAGAGCCCGCCCACCCAGCCACTGCTGCCTGCCACCTGATGGTCGGCCCTCTAGGGAGAGCTGTGACCAGCCTGCCCAGAGCCCCGTGGCTGCACTCAGGGACTCCCCCTCAGTTCCCAGCTACAGGCCTGAACTCTCACAGAAGGCTGAGGGCCGTCCAGAGTCCACAATAGGGGAGGCCATGGCTCAGAGAAGGGGTAAATCGCCCACCCGCCCCCGGGACTCATTGTCCCCTGGGAGGAGGGGTGCCATGTGCAACACAGCAAGGACAGCTTGGAGCTGAGCACAGCCTGAAGGAATGCCCAGAGCTGGGGGAGGGTGGGGATGTAGAAGAGGGAGGCAAGGAGCCTCGCCAGGGGTCCGGTGGCCCTAGGAGTATGGCCTCTGCTTCTCTTGGTCTCTGCTCAGACTTGGCCTCGTCAGCAGTGAAGGCTGGAGAGTAGGGGCTGGAATCCCCCCCTGGACCAGGGGCTCTACCAGCCTGGAGCTACTGGAATAAGCACCTAGGGATCAATGTGGCATCTCCACTCTCACCCGGGGGAAGAAAATGTCACTGTCAGGGCCTTGATGGGTGGCTAGAGGGCCACTCCGGAATGGATGTGGGGAGAGAAGAAGGCACAGAATGTAATCCTAGAGGACAGCAGGGAGGAGGCATCTCTTCCCTACATCCAGGAGGGGGCACCAGAGGAGGGACTCGGATTGAGGAACCCACTAGCCTGGTGCCAAGACACACACACACACACACACACACACACACACACACACACACACAGTGATATCCATCCTCCCTATCAGGAAGGTGTGGCTGCAACCTTGGGGTGCAACTGGGAGGGGGCTTAATTTCCCTGTGAAAGCAGTGCCCCCAAAGCCCCACTCCATTTGAGACCCCACGACAGCACACTGACAGCCCTGCCTCGCCTGAGAGCAGGCTGTCCTGCGGGAGGGCAGCAGAGGGCTTAGAACTGGGACCCCCGGTGATGCCGCCTGTCATGTGTGACCCTGTGCAAGTCACTAACCCTATCGGGGCCCCATTGTCTTCTCTTGTGAAAGAGGACACTAACCCTACCTCTCAGGACTGCTTTCAAGCATCAAGCGGAGTGGCAGGAACCTCCTCCCACTGATGAAATGCCTTGTGATTGCTGGTCCTCAAGCTCTTCTCCAGCTCCCGTATGTGCTTTGTCTACACTGAAGACCTTTGCGGCCTATTTCTCTGTTGTGCCCTAAATTGGAAGGGGCTGGGAAGGGCGGAAGGGCAGAGGGGCACACGGGCAGGGCTCAGGCGGTGGGTGCTGGACCTAGACAGAGCCCTAGGGCTATGCCCTGATGTCAGCGTAGCTGTTAGGGGACCTCCCCCCCATCTCTGTTGGCTGAGGATGAGAGGCTCCTGGAATTGGGTGAGCTGCACCCTTGGAGCCTGCTGTCACGTGAACTCCCCAGGAGGGACACAGGGTGCTGGGAAAGGGGTACAGAGGCCCCGCCCTGGGGGTCTCCAGCCCCTCTGGGCCTGGCTGGCCTCTTTGGACCTCCAGTGCTCCGGGACATTTTCCTCAAAGTCCCAGCCTCTCATTTTCTCCTTGCTCCTACCCTTTCCCCTGGAGCTGCGAGAACATCCAGATCCCCAGGTCAGGGAGGTGCAGGGCAGGGGGTAGCACACAGGCTGCCTCGGCTGTTAGTGCCTCAGGCAACAAAGCTTCCTGAGCTTTTGGCTGTGATGACAGGACACACCCATGAAGGGCTTCCTGTGATGCTGTGATGATCAAGGGCCAGGACACGTTAAGAAAACCCAGCACAGAGAGACATCTGCTTTGCAGAGCATAGCAGACAGATCTGTCACCGTGGGACACGCGTGCTCCCACTGGGAGGCTGGCAAGCAAACCTCAAGTTCACGGTTTTCCCAGATGGCTGCAAAAGGTTTCTCAGCCCGAATTGGACTGAGTCGGCATAGCTTCCTCCTTCAAGCTGATGGACTTTTTGCCCCAGGGCTGGGAGTGGTGAGGCGGGAAAGCCTCCTCTGCCAGCCCCGTCTGGGGGCTGCCTCGGCTGCAGAGAGGGGCCTCTCCAAGGTCAGTCCCCCTCCCAGGGCGGCCCGTCCCCCCTGACCGGCTGCCACAGGCTCCAAAGCCCCGGCATCCCCCAGCCACCCTGGAGAGCATCCTGTCTTCACACCTCTGCATGGCCCGCCCGAGCTTCCTGTTGGCCTGTCCTCTTCCCAGCTTGGTCCCTGGGCACATTGGGCCTCTTGTGCTAACCTCCACCGCAGAGTCTGCACCCCACAAACCGACCTGCCACACTGCATGTTTACAAGGTTTCCAAATTCCTTGGTGGTTTATTACCTCTACACAGCCTGTGGCGATCGTTTTTCTGTAGCTGTCCTAATGACAATGATTCTGAAAAATGTGCTCGATTACTGTGGTCTTTGGACAAATGCTTGGGGAGACTGGGAGCTGGGGGCCTCCAGCCTCCCCGCCCCCAGCCTCTGCTCCTTCTATATCTTTTTCTCCTCCCCACCCACCCCTACCTGCCAGTTATGCCCCCAGTTTCGTTCTCTCCCTCCCTTGCTAGAATATTCCCTGATTCCCGGCACCTTGGTTCCTGGAAATGACTCTCCCTCTCTCTTCTCCCCTGCCCCTCCAGTCCCACAGCCCCCCAGCTCCCAGGCAGGCCTGGACCGGTCGCCCGGCACCTCCAAAGCATCTCCTGTGTCAGTCTCCTTCAGTGAGGGCTTTCCTGGGTGGGAAGGAAGTGGTCCGGTAGAAGGGAGAAAGAAATGAGAAATAGGTTCTGATTTCACCAGTGACTTCCTGGGCTTTCGCAGCTTTCTACATCCCCACCCCAGGGGTGACAAAGAGGAAGAGGCTGGGCAGGAAAGAGCCAGCGGTAGCTGCAGAGTCCCCCGGAGCCTCAGTCCAGTCTCGGGGTCGAGGCCTTTCCGGGCCCACCTGTAGCACCTGCAGCCGGAGGGTCCCCTACTCCGAGGCCTCCCGCTGCCCCACTGGGGTGCTCTTCTTCTCCCCGGACCAGCTAGGGGGGCTGTGCTGAGTCCCCTCCCCGCCCCCAACCAGAGGCTCCCTGTCCTCAGGGCTTCTCTCTCCCACCCCAGCTCAAGAAGTGGGTCATGGCCCAGGGGGCCACCCACCTGCTGCCTGCTTCTGTCCTGCTGATGCTCCTGGCCTCAGGTGATGCGGACAGAGGGAGGAACCGGGCAAGAGGAGGGGGAGGTGGTGGCGGGGGAGGTGGGTCAGAAGGGGACAGGGGCAGGGTGGGGCTGGGGCCAGAGGCTGCCTCTGGGGCCCTCTCTGAGGTGGAAGGTGCCCATCTGCAGACAAATGACCCGAGAGTTTCTTTTCAGGCTCCTGGGAACAGAAGCTACTGCATAAACTGGAAGGGCAGACAGTCTCTGTGCAGTGCCCGTACCCGTACTGGCCAAGTTCGAACATGGTGAGAGCCTGGTGCAGGTACTCTCCAGAAAGTATTTGTACCATTTTAGCCACCCACCACCCCAGGCTCCCGAGAGTGTCGGAGCCTCGGCACTCCATTCAGGATGATCCCAAATCAGGCTACTTCATCGTCACCATGACTGAGCTCAGGGTGGAAGACTCCGGACTTTACGCATGTCTATTCTACAAATCCTCCGAGACCTTCATTCTCAGAAAAATCCGTCTGGTGGTATCTCGGGGTGAGTTCTTGCCCTTCTTCGCGTGGTCCTCAGCCTTCCTAAATCACAGGGTGTTAGAGCTGGCAAGGACCCTAAAAGCATTTTCTTCATGGCGCTCACAGCTGGGCAGCAGCACCCTTTGCCCAAGGTCACCGCTGGTTTCAGGCAGAACCTGCAGAACTCTGACTTGCTGGCTCAGCTGGTTCTTTCTTTCCCATCACACGCATCTCTGAGCATTTTTGTCGCTGCTAATGAGACTCGTCGACTGATTTGTAATGACTGTGAGGCTCCCTCAAGTTTGACAAAACTGGCTGATGACTGGGCCATTCCTGGGCATCCTGACTCTGGACCCCAACCCCTAACCTTCTCTCAAAGGGTTGTGCTGGAGTCCCAGGAAGCCGGTTGGGTTAAGAAACACAGACAGGCAGGAGGCAGCTGGCAGCCAGGCAGACGTGGGGCTTCGAGGGTGAGGCTGGGAGTGGCACCGGCCAAGGGCTCCGAGGACATGGGTCCTCACCCTGGACCTGCGCCTTATAGTCAAGAGACCATAAGCCTCAGATGGGGAGATTGACGGGGTTCCCCATCGGAGCCCCCAGGTGTATTTCTTGAAAACGTCAGAGTTGCGAAGGGTTAGGATGGTGGGTGGTAAGGGGCATAATGGAAGCATGTTGGATGGTGGCCCCGTGAAGGGAGGGACCAGGCCAACTGGAGGAAGCAGTAGTATGGATTCTCCTGACGACTCCCCAGAGGAGGTGATACCGCCCAGGCCTTAATGAAGGAGGAAGACTTTTTCTGGAAGAGACAAAAGTGGGGGCAGGTGGAAGGGAAGTACTATGGGTGGAGAGTACATGACATGTTGAAAGAACACAGAAAAGACTGGAATATATCCAAGTGATAGTGTGATCCTAATCTAAAGCCACTTGCACTGTGGCACTTTACCGCGAGGGAAATCCAACACCACTCAGGGTAATACCCCCACTTGGCCCAGGGCCCTGTGTGGGCCTATCTTCCCCAGGACCACAGGCTAGAAGTGGGGGCCCCACAATGTGGGGCAAACACATGGGAGTGCTCCTCTTACTGTCATCTCTTTCAGCTTCAACCGCACTGACCACCAGGAGCACCAGTGGGACCACAGCCTGGACCTCTGCCACCAGCCCTGCCATTGACAGGTACTGTCACCTGCCTCCGGGTCCTCCCTGCCCTCCACTTCTTCCCGTCCTTGGCCAACTGTGCCAAATGCCTTTAGCTACCTCATGCTTACAGACACCTGGCTTTGGGGGGAGGGAGGGATGGGAGTCAAACAGTTTGCTTCAAGTCACTTTGCCTCATTGAGCCTCAGTTTTGCCATCTGCAAAATGGGGCCAATAACAGTCTCACCTTACAGCAGGGTTGTTTACCTTGGGCACGACTGACGTTTGTCGGGAGGGGTGCCCTGTGTGGCAGCATCCCTGGGACAGCAACAGCACAAACCTCCCTGAGACCACCCAGTTGTGGCAACCAAACCAAAATGTCTCTGGACAATGCCAAGTTTGCCTCGCGGTGGAACCGCCGTCCTACAGAGTTGCTGTGCGGATTAAGTGGGATTGTGTCTGGCCCAGTGCCAGGCCTGTGACCAGTGTCTGCTTCCTTAGCGTCACCCCTCTTCCAGCCCCAGGCGTCCTGGAGAAGGGTGCGCTTTGTCGTCACAACCTGTGGCCTGATTTCTTCTCTACCCCTGGCTGCTGCGTTCCAGGCCCCAGCCCCTGGGACTGACCTGATAGCTGCTTTCTTCCAGACTCCTTCCTCCCCTGCCGTCTCTGCAAACACCATCACTACGATGGATGGGAACCCCCGGGCTCTTGCAAACAACGATCCCTTGCTTCAAGGCAGTACGCTCAGAAACTAGGTGGAGCTGGTCATGGAGCTGAGAGGTGTCCCTACAGCTGCTGCCCCCGGGGCTTACGGCTTTGACCCTTGACGCCCCTGGGACCCTGCTGTGGTATAAGAAAGCCTACTTTTGTGTTCTGCCTATGACTGAAGACAGGCCCTGTTCAAATGCGTTTATCACATGGCAGAGCTGTGGGTCACAAGACACCAGTGCTCTCTGAGAGCTGAGCCCGTCTCACAGGCAGGCTGAGGTGACAGGGACCAAGAATAGTCTAGGGGAGCCTGGGGGAGGGGTGAGTGCAGACCCTGCAACAGAGGCCCAGGGGCAAGTGCGGGGACAGCAGCCAGAGAAGGGAAAAGGAGCAAAGACAGCGGACATCGGAAACATTCCCCATTCACAGAGGAGGAAACATAGCCCAGGCGTGGCCAGACGTGCATGGCTTACGGGGCAGAGTCCTTGACCATGGGGCTGCCTCCTGGCCAGCTCAGGGGGAGGGGCTGTCACGAGCAACACACGCATGGGGGGAGGGGTGGCTTCCCCGCAGAAGGTTGGCTCCCACTTTCCTCACCCGGCTGGTTGTTCTTTATTCCAAAGCCCCCAAGACAACTGGCGTCTCATCGTTCCCAGCACCACGGTGGCCATCGTGCTGCTGCTGCTGCTCACCATCCTCGTGATCCTGTACTTCAGGAAAACCCAAGGAAACGCCGGGAAAGGTAAACCCCGGTGCTGGCTCAGAGCAGACCACCGAGGGCTTGGCCATGAAGTCTTCCTGCCCGCGAGCCATGAGGACAAGGCTTATTACGCCCACTTTACCACCAAGGAAATTGAGACTTGCAAGATGAGGTGGCCCGATCCCCTGGGTTCTCTTGCTTTGCCAGAGCAGCGGGCAGGATCATTCTCTTCAGAGGCTCAAGGTCAGCTCCCTCTAGGCCTAATTTGCCTAAAGTTGGGCTTTCTGGTATCATGTTGGGATCGTATAATGTGCCATCTTTTTATAGGTAAGGATTTTATTTTTTTGTTTAAAAAAAAAGATATATTTCTTTTGAGAGAGGGAAGTGCAAGCAGGGGGAGAGGTGGAGAGAGAATCTGCACTGACAGCGCAGAACCTGACGAGGGGCTCGGTCCCACAAACCGTGGTGAGATTAAGACCTGAGCCAACATCAAAAGTCAAACGTTTAACTGACTAAACCACCCAGGCGCCCCTATAGTTAAAGATTTTTAAACAAATTTACCTAAAAGACTTTCTGGTCAATGGTATTGGTTTTTAACTGTCACTATTGTTTTTATTTTATTTATGTTTTTTAATTTTTTACTGTTTATTTATTTTTGAGAGAGAGAGAGACAGAGTGTAAGCAGGGGAGCGGCAGAGAGAGAGAGAGAGAGAGAGAGGGAGACACAGAATCTGAAGCAGGCTCCAGGCTCTGTCAGCACAGAGCTTGATGCCGGGCTCAAACCCATGAGCAACGAGATCATGACCTGAGCTGAAGTCAGATGCCTAACCGACTGAGCCACCCAGGGGCCCCTGATTGCCACTATTGTTTTTAAATTTTGTCTTCCTAAAAGCACAGGAAGGACTTTTTAATCTTCTGAGTTGTAAGTTTTTAGCATTAACCACCTGTCATGGCATCAGCATTTTGTGCATGGCTTATCATATTAGTACCCTTAGGTGGTTCCTGTTTTCGTGTGTGTTTGGTTTGTTCAGCACATATGTGCTGTGTATTTATTAACCATGTAATCCAGTGCTGTGTCTGTTGACAAGATTGAAACGTGGAAGCAGGTCAGGGTTATGTTGGACCTCATTGATTTTAAGTTTTCAAGCTATAAAAATCCTAATGTAGTCATGGATTGTAAAATTTTATATACGTATTTTTCAATCCATGTAAAGTCATAGTCAATACTATTTTTATAAAATAAAATAGAAAAGCAAAATGTTGCAGTGGTTTGTACACTGGAACAACAAATATGTTTTCATTGGACTTTTAGGGGTGTGTGTGTGTGTGTGTGTGTATGAGTGTGTGTATTCGTATATGTGGGAATAAGATAAAATGTTTCTCATTGTGGCTCTTGGCCCGAAAATTTGAAAGGTGTTACAGATAACTTCACCAGCAAATAGATTATTTTCTATAGATGTTAGATGTTTCAATTTGGAACTTTCAGTGACTGGAGTTAATTAAGCTTACCAGTTTTATTCAAATGAGCCACAGGCCACCAGCTTGATTTGCTCCTTATCCCTAACCTGTGCTCCGTGGACACTCCTCTGCACTTGCTGGGCCCCCAGACCTCGCTGCGACCTTCTGGGCAGGGTGGGATTTCTGGGCCGGGCCCCAGCCCTTCCCGCGCCAGGGTCCCCTCTGCCCTGAGGGGTCCTTCACCACTCCAGCCTTCCCAAGAGACCAGAGCCTAGGGAGAGGTCCCTGCCCCAAACCGGACTCTTCTCTTCACAGGTGAAGACAAATTCCACATCTACGACAGCATTTCGGCCCAGAAGGAACAGACCACTGAGCACAGGAAAGACTCCTCATCAAGGCAGAGGCCATCTCAGCTTTCCTGGGTATCCTTGTTGTTGGTGTTCTTGTCTTTTTCAGCCTCCCAGCTTGTGGACTTGGAGTTTCTGTTCAGTCTGGACTTGCAATCACTTGTGACTCCTCATGTTGCCTCATCTGCATGTACCCATTGCCCCATATTTTCCAGTTCAAACTCAAAGAGAGAAGTTGGCTGCTTCAGCTTTTGGCCTTCACCCCCACAGGAGACAGCTATTAATGGGAGTCTATCTCATGGGTCCAGAGCCAGCCTATGATGGCTGCCATCAGTCCAGGCAGCTAGGGGGAAAGAGGTCCCATGGTAAAAGCATGGCCCTCTACGTGCCCTGTCATCGGGAGCTGAGGGCCAGGCTGTTGCCCTTGGGTAGGTCTGTCTTGTCTAAAGATCTAAGACTCGCAGAATCGCAGAATCGCAGAATCGCAGGATGGGGAGGATCTAAAGCTATCTGGTTCAACCCTCTATAACGCTGGAATCAACTCTACACATGGCATCCCTACCAAGGGCTCTTCTAGCTCAGTGCTTCTCAAACTTGAGTGTGCATGAAAATCACCTAGAAAACGTGTTCAAACAGAATTTCTTGGACCCCACCCCCAGAGACTGACTTAATAGATCTTGGGTGGAATCTGAGATTTTAACAAGCTGCCAGGTGATGCCAGTGCTGTCGGTCCCTGGATCATGCCCAACATAGCCTTCCTTAGCCTATTCTTAAACAGTTTCAGTGATGGAAACTCTGCTGGCTTCAGCTATTCCCAGAGGGTCTGCAAGCTCCATACTCTGCCCCTCACCTTATCCCTGTCTCTGTTTCCCACCCAACTCTGGGCAGCCTGGGGGCCACTGACCAACCATTCCCAGCTATGATCTGTACAATGAACATCTTTCTTCTTTGATTCCCAGGGCTCCAATCAACAAATGGGCTCTGATGAGGATGCTGGGGGCATTTGCTATGCCTCACTTACCTACCTGAGCCACTTTGGCCTTGAGGACTCCATCTATGTCAACACCCACCCCAACCCAAGGCCCATGCCTGACCGCCTTCTGACTGTGGAATATGCCAGCATCGCTGGAAACAGACCCCAGCTCTCCAAGTCGACTGCCCTGGAAGGGGAAACTCAGGAGCTGAAGGCAGACTTCACTGGGCAGTGAACACTTAGCAAGTACCTGCGAGGCATGGGGTTGCTCTACCAGTGATATGGGGACTTCAGTGGGACAAAGGTGGTCCCAAACCAGGAAAAGGTCATCCCTTCCTACAAAGGAGATGAGGAAGGGGGAGGAAAGAAAAGACCTTATCACTCCACAGGAGAGAAGCTCTGAGTCTAAAGGCTGTGATGGGCGGGCTCTGGGGCCCATAGAAGGGGTTTCTAGACACCTGCCTGCTCACCTCCCCAGGGCCTAGGAGGAGGGCTATTAGAGCAAAGACCAATTAGATAGGGTTTGGATCCCAGTGCCTCTGAGTGACCCAATCTTCGCCCCCACTCTGTGACCCTCACTTCCTTCCTGACCAGGGGCTGCGAAATCCTGACATACTGTGCAAGTTCCTCTTTGGTGACTCTCCTCATGACAGCCCTCCTCCATCCCCAACTACCTCTCAGGACCGCTAACCCAGGCTGGAAAGTTCTACCCCTCCACTCCAGCTCCTTCCTCTCCTCCCGATTTTGATTCTCACAAATGACCCTGCCAGGACATGGGCAGTGCCCACCATTCAAGAGTCTCTCCTAACCCCTGGCCTTGCTGGGTGGGAGCAGGGAGCATGGGAGCTTCCCTCCCTATATTGGCCCCTGCAGCTTTGCTGGACCTGACCTGGGCTCCCCCACCTTCCATGGAAACCATCATCTACCCTGCTAGCTGTGTCTCCAACAAAGCAGGCTGAGGGCCACCCCCTGCTTTGCCCAAGTACACTTCTACAGGACCCTTATGGAAACAGGGCCCTTTTAAAATTCTGTGCCCCCAAAGAGTGACTCTGAATTGTGGGAATTCCAGGCCATGGGGGCAGAAGGTGCTGTCCTACCATGTCATGGGAAAGATTGCTTGAATTATCAGTTCGTCACTTCTCAAGAGTGACTTTTAAAGATCATCGAATCCAACTGCCAATAGGAGACTAGGTCCGTTCTGCAAAACCCCAGTGAGTCATGCAGTGTCTGTCCCAATCTCTTGGAGGACAGGGGATTCGCTGCCTATTGCTCAGACAGCTTGTGTGTGAATGGTTTTGTCAGACAGGAACTTGCTTGCCTTCAGTCACAGTGAGACATCAGCTTTGCCTCCAGGATGGGAACTGAGGCTGTGGCTCCTTCAGGGCCAAGAAAGGAGAGCGGTTGGAGAGGGCAAGGGTGGGTGGTCTGAGGTCTGGCAGGCTGAGGTGTGATGACGAGGTCTTCTTCAGGAGGAAGGCAAGTTATGCTTGTCACTCGTGACATCCCAGGTTCCCAGTGTTGAGGATATGGTTCTGTCCCCAGTTTGTGGCTGTTCAGAACACTCAGGAACAACTCCGAGTTGAAGGAGGTGGAGAACAGGATGCTCTGAGCATCACCTTGGCTCTCCAGGTCTCTTCCTTGTCCCTTCCAGTGTCCCAGATTTGACTACTAGAGGCTGGGCACCTGCAGTATCCTAACCTCCCACCCTACCTGGCCTTGCTCTGAGAAGGCCATTGGCACTGACCTACGGCCTCATTAGACCTCTGTTCTTCATTGTTCTAGGCTCCTGAGCCTCTTGGTCTATATTTTAGTCTACATATCCACCGGGGAAGCCCATCTTCACCATGGTCTTCTCAACTCGGGTATCCTGGCTACAACGCCATGAGCCACCCCGGAGGTCAGGCTCCTTACGCACTGTCCAAACCCGAAGGCTTTACTCAAACTAGGGACCCTGGAGTTAGAATCATTATACAGTATTTATAAGGGGCCTGCTGCCCGCCAGCCATGGCTCAGAGGTGGGGATACAGTGATTAATCTAGTAAGCCAACAATTATGGAGTGGTTCTTATGGCCACATTCCTCTACATACATTAAAGGCTTAAACAACCCCATAAGGTAAGTGCTTTCCCTTCATTTTAAAGATGGGGAAATTGAGGCACAGACAGGTTAAGTAAATTCCCAAAGTCTAACAGCTAATAAATGGTGGGTCCTAGACCAGAAATTTTAGCCACAGTGCTTTCTCGTCCCTGTTCCTGTATGCATGCGCGCACATGTGCAGCGGGTAGATATGTATGACAAAACAGTAACACCAGGCAATCACAGCTAGAGCTACAGAATGCTAATGGTGCTTGGGGGAGGTGGGAAGCATGACTTTTTTGATAGAACTCCAGGAGCCAAGAGGGGATAGTAGGGCTGTGGCTGATGTAGCTGGGGAGTTTGAGAAGAGGGATTCTTAATTAACCAGTGTCCCCAGATAAAAGGCCCAGGTCCCTCCTGCCCACCCTTACCCCGGGGTGGAGGGGGGGTAGGACCGCCCCTTCTGTCACCACCAAAGGCCCCAGGGCACCTTTCAGGGCTGTGACATTGGGAATGTACACCTTTCCCTATCTCAGCAGTGATGTGGTAATGGTAGGTGAGGCGCCCAAGACTCAGGCCCCACAGGAGGGTGCTGCTCTTGGACCTTTGGGACACCAGCAGACTTTAGGCACCATCCTTCCCAAGACGTGCCACCCAATGCCAGCTGGGTCCTCCCTTCACCTTCCCCTCCCCCACCCCCCACGCTCTTTAGGCATGCCACACAATATGTCAACATTTTGTTCATTGACGTATCTGTTTTCCGTTTTGGTTGGTGTTTCAAGCCACTAAGGTTTGGAGTAGTTTGTTTTGCAACAATAAGCATTCGAAACGAATAGCCGAGACAAATTTGAATAACAAGTCCATGGGGAAAGGAGATGGTCTTACCTGACTGGAAACCGAGACTCAGGACCACAGTGTGATTTTCTTGGAATAGAAAATCGACCAGGGCAACAGAATTGGGGGGTGAGAAAACAGACCTGTGTACAGATGGAAACCTGATTTTTGCGAGAGCGGGCATATGAATCAGGGGCAGAGGAGAGAAATATGCCATGGTCTGAGTATAACCATCTATCCATATGGGGAAAATACAAAATTAGATTCTCGCCTTAGGTTTTTTTACACAAGAACGAATTCCAGGTGGGTTACAAATCCCCGTGTCAATAGCTGAACAATAAAATGTTTAGACAAAAATGTAAGAGTTTTTATGACTTCAGGGTAGAGGAATATTTATTGAGTAAGACATCAAAAGCACAAACCACAGGGGAAGTGTGGTGCTTGGCTATATTAAAATGCAAAACTTGAGTACAAAAAGAAGACATCAGAAATAAAGTGGAAGGAGGAGCGCAGACAGCGAGATGGCATTTGCAATGCATATCACTGATAAAGGCTTAGCAGCCAGAATTCATAAATCAAAAAAGGACACACTATTTTGAGTGGGCAAATTATAGGTGAAAAGAAAATCACACCCAAGAAAATTAAAAAATAAATCAGATAAATAATGGTTAACTTCATTAGCAATCAAATAAATTCAAATCTCAACTAGAAACATATATACCCAGTATATAGGTAGAGGACTTCAAATATGTCTATAATGTTTCATATGTAGATACAGATGTAGATATAGATAGATATAGACATAGACATATAGATATAGATAGACATAGATATGGATATATAGATACATACCTCACATTTTTAAATTCTGAGAGTTCATGACAATAATCACAGACAAAAACCTAGTTCTGTGAATGAATTTAGGCACCCCAAGTCGCATTTTCTCTGTAACAATAAAACCACCAGGTATGTGCTGTTATTGGGTTCCTATTACATCAGGGGTTATGCAACATAGAAAAACAGAAAAAAATGTAAGCATGGCATGTTATGTAAATTTTGATGTTAAGTAAGTCTACCATTAAATTATTTTTTCATCGATGTTTATTTATTTTTGAGAGACAGCGACAGAAAATTAGCAGGGGAGGGGCAGAGAGAGAGGGAGACACAGAACCCAAAGCAAGCTCCAGGGTCTGAGCTGTCAGCACAGAGCCCGACGTGGGGTTTGAACTCACGAACTGCAAGATCATGACCTGAGCCACAGTCAGTCACTTAACAGACTGAGCCACTCAGGTGCCCCAGTCGTCTATAAAATTCTATCCAATGCCATGTAAGAGATAACATAAACTTTTCACTTCCTAGATCTGAGTCACTTTTCCCTCTTTTTTTTCTTCTTTTTTTTTTTCATTTTCAAATACAGCAAAATATTAAGATTTAACAAAGTTGGTCATAAGGACCCGTGTTAGTTATATTAGTCTCTGTACCCCTCTTGATGCTTAAAATATTTCTTAATTTTAAAAAATAGCTTTTGCAACAGTCCAAGCAACAGGTGATGTAGACATAGCCTAGGGTGCTGGCCCTGAGAAGGGGGCTGGGGCTGACTCTGCCCAGTTTGAGGGGAGAGCTAAGGCCACTTGGGCAGCAGAATGCAGAGGGGGTGGCTGCCTCTGCCTTGTGTGGAATGTAAGGAGGAGGAAGGAGTCAACACACAGAGTGTAGAGCCTGTCTGATTAGGAGAAGCCTGCTGGCTGAGGAGATCAGGACTTAGGGTCACTTGCCGACTCAGAGAAAGGTAGCCACAAGAGCTCTGACTTTTGAGAGAGACTTTTGTTTAGCTGCTAAGAGAAAGATGAGGATTCAAGGAAGAAGACACAGAAGAAGCCACCAGAAAGAAATACTAGCATTCCACAGGGGCAGCTAGCTGCTGTAACAAAAATCCCCAAGAAAAGGTTATTTCTCACTCCTGTCACAGCTCAATGCAGGTTGGTGAGGAAGCTGTGCTCCACACGGTCATTTGGGAACCCAGTTTCCTTCCAGCTAGTGGCTGTGTCATCCTCTAGCCCCTCACAGGCCCCCACTGGATCCTCTACATCTGGGTGGCAAATCAGAGGAAGGAGAGATCACTGATGATTGCATAAGATGTTTTAGGGACCAGGGCTTCCTGGGTGGCTCAGTCGGTTAAATGTCCAACTTTGGCTCAGGTCATGAGGTCATAGCTCGTGAGTTCAAGCCCCTCATTGGGCTCTGTGCTGACAGCTCAGAGCCTGGAGCCTGCTTGGGATTCTGTGACTCCCTCTCTCTCTGCCCCTCCCCCGCTCATGCTCTGTCTCTCTTTCTTCCTCAAACATAAATAAACATTAAAATTTTTTTTTCAAAAGAAGTTTTATGGGTCAGGCCTGGAAGGGGAAAACTATAACCTCCAGAGCCCAGGCCCTTGGCCACCTCGACTGCACGAGAGGCTGGACAGAAATCATCTAGCGCTCTTCTCCGGAGGAAATAATTTAGGGACCAACTACTTAACCTCTTCCAATAGTCAAGACATGGTAAAATAAAAGTTCTCTTATATATTTAAAATTTTGTTTTTCATGTTTATTTTTGAGAGAGAGAGAGAGCACAGGGGAAGAGGCAGAGAGAGAGGGAGACAGAATCTGAAGCAGGTTCCAGGCTCCGAGCTGTCAGCACAGAGCTCCATATGGGGCTGAAACTCACAAACCATGAGATCATGACTTGAGCTGAATCAGGACACTTAACCAACTGAATCATCCAGGTGCCCAGTGAAATAAAAGTTCTTAATGTAAATTCTAAATCCCAGCATAGCTTCCTTAGGGTCAGAATCTTGGCCGGCCTTCTTTTTCTTTTTTCTTTTTCTTTTTTTTTTTCTTTTATTTATTTTTTTTTAATGCTTTTTTTTTTTTAATTTCTAGGAGACAGAGAGAGAGACAGCGTGAGCAGGGAAGGGTCAGAGAGAGGGAGTCACAGACTGAAACAGGCTCCAGGCTCTGAGCTGGCAGTCAGCACAGAGCCCGAAGCGGGGCTCGAACCCACGAACCGCAAGATCATGACCTAAGCGAAAGTCGGATGCTTAACCGACTAAGCCACCCAGGCGCCCCAACCGGCCTTCTTTTTCTTAACTGCTACTATCTCTTCTCCTGCCTGAGCTTCTTTCTCTCTGGAATCCTTACAAGATTTCTCAAAACAAGCCCCTTCTCCCACCCACTGTCACGGTCATATATATAACAAATTCCTAAGCTAGACTTGATGAGGGTCCTTTCAAGGAGCTTCATTCAAGGAAACCCAAGCTAACACCAACAAAAAGTCATCAAAACAATCTGAAGCTTTACTCTGTCTTTCAAGGAAATGCACAAGTCCATATTTATCTGGCTGTCAATAGGGGGCAGCTACTGGCTGGCTCAGCCCCAAACCCTCAGCCAATCTCTCCTTGACCCAGTTTTCCTGGCCCATGCTGGGAATATGTTTTCTTCAAACATTTTAATGTAAGGAAAAGTAAGTTTACTGCAAATTGCTTATCACAAGTTGCCAAAGTTGGCTCTTAGAAACTCTTTTAATATCCATTAATGGGACGCTGATTAAGAAGTTACACTACACTGACACCAAGAAATAGAGAGATGTTGAAATAGAGAGGTGTTCTGGAGAGATTAAGTGGAAAATGCCACAAAATAATACATCTAGCATGAACTCCTTTGTGTTCGTGTCTCCGTGTGTGACCATAGCAAAAAGGCTAGATGAACAAATACTAAAATATCAGTTGAAATTACCTCCGGGGAATGCGATTAGAGTGGAGGAAAATTTCACTCAGTAAGATTAGGCAGACTGGCTCTGGAGCCAGACTGCTTGATCTAAACCTAATTTCTACCTTTATGAGCTGTGGGGCTTCAGGAAAGTTATTTAACTTCTCTGGATCTTGGTTACCTGGAACAAAAATATTACCTACCTCACAGGTGATGACAAAACACATGTGCGGTCCAGCACACAGTAAGCATTCAACAAATTCTTATCTTTTTTTTTCTTTTTTCTATTTTTTTTGTTTTTATTTTGTTTTGATTTGTTTTGAGAGAGACAGACAGACAGACAGACAGACAGAGACTGTGAGCAGGGGAGAGGAGCAGAGGGAGATGAAGAGAGAGAATCCTAAGCAGGCTCTGTGCTGTCAGTGGAGAGCCCCACGTGGGGCTTGAACTAAGAAAACTGTGAGATCATGACCTGAGCCGAAATCAAGAGTCAGACTCTTAACAGAAAGAGCCACCTAGGTGTCCCATCTTGTGTGTTTTAAGTGGTGGAATTATGGACAACTTTTACCTTTATAGAGTTAATTTTTATAATTTTCACATAACACTTAATTGAATCTAGTTTTTAAAAGATTTTTTAAATGCGAAGTACATTTTATGTTGCTATTATGATAGAAATAAACTCCGTCTGAATCTTTGCTCTACGCGAGTGTGGCAGGTGACCTTGGGGGAAATTGCCTGTGGCTTGCAAGTGCGATGTTTCAACGGCACAGAAGTATTTACCAAGGAATTGTGGACATCACCGGTGTATTTAATAACGCCATTTAATAAGCCTTTTATCTTGCTATAATTTCGATACTAGGTCTTGAAAAATTACCTGATTTGGGGCGCCTGGGTGGCTTAGTCGGTTAAGCGTCCGACTTTCGCTTAGGTCATGATCTCACAGTTCGTGGGTTCGAGCCCCGCGTCAGGCTCTGTGCTGGCTGCCAGCTCAGAGTCTGGAGCCTGTTTCAGTCTGTGACTCCCTCTCTCTCTGACCCTCCCCTGCTCACGCTGTCTCTCTCTCTCCTAGAAATAAATAAAAAACATTTTTAAAAAATTACCTGATTTAAAAATTTCTGCTTAAATTTTTTCTTTAATTATCAAATTTTGCAGCAACGCGTTTATCTTTAGGACCGTTTTTGCTTTCTACTCTAATCCAGGCACAAATGATAACTCTGGAGCGCCTGCGGATTGCCTGAAAATGTAGAGTACTTGTAAGAGGGTTTCGTGGTCAGATAATGTTAGAAAGAGCTGATCCAGATGTACACTGGTCTCAGAATTTACTTCCTTGTTGATCCTTGACTGCCCAAGGTGCTCTGGGAGTAGAGGGAGGGACTTGCGGGCTGGCTCAGGCTGGGGCATTACAGGGAAACAGCGCCGCCATGTGGGGTCCACTCAGTGCTAGGGGTGGGAATCGGCCCTAATCGGGAGGAATTTTTCTTTAAGAAAGGCTGCAATTGTCTAATAATCCTCTTTTATTTTTAAGGCATTATGTTTCTAGCCATGGCAAGACTCATCTTCAATTAGCAGATCCCTGTGGTCCAAGCCACGTCCACCCTAACGGACATCCTCAACTCACACTCAGAACAGGGGCCCAAATGTGCCTTTCTGGCTGAGATGACCAGAAATGTCCCCAAACTCTCTCTGATGACTCACTTGGGGGTGTCCCTTCACTCCCTGAATCCAGGGTATTGTCCTAAAATCCTGCCAATGCAGATTTGCAATATCAACATCACTTCAGCATCTGCAACAAAGGAGTAGTGACTCCTGAGCTCACCTAGCATGGAGCTGGCAGATGGTAGGAGTTTGGAAAATAGGTGGAATAAATGAATGTGCGCCTGGGAAGAGGGCTCCAGGCTCTTCCACTCCCTGGGTGAGAGGGAAAGGAATGCCTGGGAGGGGGTGGTTGTAGACCAAGTTCCTTTCCAGGAGCAGGCTGCACGCACAAGAGGGTTCAATTGCCCATCATTTTATTTTATTTTATTTTTTTAAATATTTTTATTTATTTCTAGGAGAGAGAGAGAGACAGCGTGAGCAGGAGAGGGTCAGAGAGAGAGGGAGACATAGACTCCAAAACAGGCTCCAGGCTCTGAGCTGGCAGTCAGCACAGAGCCCGACGTGGGGCTTGAACCCACGAACCGTGAGATCATGACCTAAGCGAAAGTCGGACGCTTAACCGACTAAGCCACCCAGGCGCCCCACAATTGCCGATCATTTTAACAAGGTTCCTACAGAGGAGTGGACAAGGATGAGGGTACCACCAAGGGATGGCTATGCATCCAAAGACAGGGAGTGTTAACACCCCAACTTGAAAGAACAAGGAGAGAGAATTGTGATCCTGGAGCCAAGTGAGAGTGGCAGCCATGGAGGAGGGACCACCAATTGCAAGGCCGTCACTGTGTGAGCCGTGACAGACATGGAGGGAGTAGGGGAAAGTAAGTACTCCAACTCATTTCTCCTCCTAACTGCCAACCCCCTGCCTGTAGCTCCCTTCCTCTAGACCCAGGAGTACTCAGCCAGGGGGCTAGGCGCCGGGGCAATGGAGTGCAGAGGGGCAGCCTCCCAGGGGCAGAGCAAGACTGAGCAGGGATAGCATGGGGCAGGGGTGCGGATAGGAGTGGAGAGAGGTCAGTAGGGGAGGGGGGGTCAAAGGCAGCAGAAAAGTCAGGCTAGGAGGGCTGGGACGAGGCCATTTGTGTCTTCCAGTGATGGGACTCAAATGGGCAGCTGAAGAATGTGAATAACAAAGCTGTCACTAAAAAATAAAAAAAAGTATCTGCACAGTGAAGGAAACGATCAGCAAAACTAAAAGGCAAATGACAGAATGGAAGAAGATATTTGTAAATGACATATCAGGGAAAGTGTTAGTATCCAAAATCTATAAAGAACTTATCAAACTCAACACCCCAAAAACAAATAATCTAGTGAAGAAATGGGCAAAAGACATAAATGGACACTTCTCCAAGGAAGACATCCAAGATGGCCAACTGACACATGAAAAAATGTTCAACATGACTCATCATCAGGGAAATACAAATCGAAACCACAATGAGATACCACCTCACACCTGTCAGAATGTAACATTAACAACTCAGGCAATGGCAGATGTTGGCGAGGATGCGGAGAAAGAGGAACGCTTTTGCACTGTTGGTGGGAATGCAAACTGGTGCAGCCACTCTGGAAAACAGCGTGGAGCTTCCTCAAAAAATTAAAAATAGAACTACCCTACGACCCAGTAATTGCACTACTAGGTATTTATCTGAGGGATACAGGAGTGCTGTTTTGAAGAGGCACATGCACCCCAATGTTTATAGTAGCGTTATCAACAAGAGCCAAAGTATACAAAGAGCCCAAATGTCCATCGATGGATGAATGGATAAAGAAGATGTGGTATATATATACAGTGGAGTATTACTTGGCTATCAAAAAGAATGAAATCTTGCCATTTGCAACTACATGGATGGAAGTGGAGGGTATTATGCTAAGTAAAATTAGTCAGTCGAGAAAGACAAATATATGACTTCACTCATATGAGGAATTTAAAATACAAGACAGATGAACATAAGGGAAGGGAGGCAGAAATAATATAAAAACTGGGAGGGGGACAAAACATAAGAGATTCTTAAATATGGAGAACAAACAGGGGGGGTTGTGGGAGCGGGGATGGGTTAAATGGATATGAGGCATTAAGGAATCTACTCCTGAAATCATTGTTGCGCTACATGCTAACTAACTTGGATGTAAATTTAAAAAGAAGCAAATTTAAAAGAAGCTGAAAAAAATTACCAAATAAAAAAGTAAAAAAGAAAGCAAGTCCACAATAATGAAAGGGCCGTGAGCAATGGATGGGGCAGTAGAGACAAGTGAGAGGCTTTCAGGACAGGTGGGTCTGTGGTGAGGTAAGCATGGAGGGGAAAGTGGGGGGGGGGGGCAGGGGGGTTGGGGTAGGATCTGAAGACATGGGAAGAAAGGGGATGGGTGAGAAAGTAGCTCTTAGGGATCATCCAGGGAAGATAGACAGACAGCCAAGCAGCCAGATAGGATACAGGGGAAGCCGCCATCTTGAAAATGGAGGATGAAATTCTGGGCTGGAGAGTCAAGAAGAAGGAAGATTTGAGAGAGAAATTATGGGAGAGGAAGGAAAATAATACTAGCCTTTTTTGTTTGTTTGGTAGCACTTAACATCCCCTAGCTTTACACACTCAGATAGTGAAGCCAGCCCAGAGAGTTAAGAAACTTGCCCAAGGCTACACAGCTAGTAAATAACAGTGCTGGGATTAAGCATAGGTCTGTCCGAAGCCAAAACCTGTGTGCTTAACCTCTACTCTGCGGTTCCCGTTTCTGTCCCATCCAGCCTTCCAATCCCCACATTTTGCCTCCAAAGGCAGGCTAAGTAGCCTCCTGAATCCTGGCGGCATCCGGACCAGTCCTGATGCAGCTACATGGTAGATGAGGTTCCCTGCACTTCTCTCTCAGTCCTGTGATGCCCTTGGTGACCTGTGGCAGGTTCAGTGCCCGGGTCCCTGCCTCCCGGCTCCTGGGCTCTCATCCAGATATTCCCTTTGGGCCTGCCATCCTGTAGCCCACCAGCTGCTGCCTGTCTGTGACCTATAACAATCCTGGCACTTGCACTTGAGTGAGTACACACACCCAGACTCCCTGGGAGGTGTCTGCCCCGAAGAGAGGAGGCACCAGCTCTGGACAGGGGCTGAGCTCCCCATCTGAGAAAATGTGAGATGTTAAGGATGGGAGAACTGCCTCCACTAGAAGTGTCAGAGAACGATGGTCCAAATACAAAGAAAGGAAAAAGAAGGTCAAGTCTGAGAAGAGTCGGAGGTGAGGCAGAGGTGGGGGCTTGAGAACAAGGGTTTGAATCCCAGAAGGCTCAGTCAGTTGAGTGTCTGATTCTTGATTTCACCTCAGGTCATGATCTCACAACTGTGACACTGAACCCTGCATTGGGCACTGGGCTGAGCATAGAGCCTGCTTAAGATTCTCTCTTTCCTCTCCCTCTGCACCTCTCCCCACGCATGCGCACTGACTCTCCCTCCTTCTCTCTCTCTCTCAAAAAAAAAAAAAGAAGTATACAGATGGCAAGCACACAATGATAAGATGTCCAGCATCGTTAGCTATTACAAAAATGGAATTAAAACCATAATGAGATATCGCTGCAAAATTATTAGGACAGCTTTCCCAAACCCTGACAACATCAAGTCTTGACAAGGATGCAAAAATAGTACAGCCATTTTGCAACACAGTGAGACAGCGTTTATAAAGCTAGGCACATGCTTACCACATGACCTGGCTGTACCACTCCAAGGATTTTAGCCAAGGAAAATGACACATGTGACTGCACAACATATAGGTACACGAATGTCTATGGTGGCTTTTTTTCATAATTGCCCCCAACTTGAACCACTGGTTCATCAGCTGGTGAACGGATAAACAATGTGTGCATTAGCCATACAATGAAATACAGTTCTGCAGTAAAAAGTAAATGAATTACTGAGAAGCACGACTTCATGTGTGTTGCATACATTATCATAAGTGAAAAATGCCAAACTCAGAGCTACACACCATATGATTCTAGGTATAGGACATTCTAGAAAGGGCAGGAAGCCATAGGAACAGAAAAGTCAGATCAGTGGATGCCAGGGCCCGAGCTGGAGAGGAAGAGATTGGTAAGCAGGGGCACAAGGGAGCTTTTGGGGGGGCTGACAGAGGTGTTCTATATTTGATTGATACATAGATGTATGAATTTGTCAAAAGTCATAGAGGTAGACACCTAATGGGGTGAATTTTTGTGTATGTAAAGGATATGCCAATAATCCTGACTTTATAAAGAGACCACAGAAGGGTACCTATCCAGTGATTTTCAGGTGGCCTCAGACTCTTCATTCCTCACGCCCTTAAGTCAAGACTGGGTAGCTGGTTTGACTAGTTAATATAATATAAGCTATATTCATCATTAAGCCCCATCTCTAAGCACATTCCCTGTGCATACCGTAGATGCACAGTAATGAAATAAATAAAAACAAATCAGCGAGTGCTTGCAGGAAACCAAAGTAGACTCTGATGATCTGTGGATGCCTGTGGGCCCTTCCGGCCCCTCCGGCTACTTCCCCCTGCACGACTGACCTTCCTGCTCCTGGGAATTACCAAATCTCCCTCACCCCATCCCTGGACTCAGCACCGAGAGCCATTTCACACCCTGATGCCTTTATACATGCAAGTCCCTGTGCCCGGATCACCCTTCAAGGGCCCAGTGCCTGCGGGAAAGCACGCCCCCAGCCCTGGAAACTCCAGCAAATGTCACAGCCTGTGTTGTCCCAAAGGTGTGTGCAGGCACAAAATAATGCCCTCGTGCACCGGTGCACGAAGGGGGCTCCCAACTGTGCAGAGGAGGATACTCTTGGGCAGGAGACTGCAGGTGGAAGAGAAAATTCTCCCCCTCATGCAAAGCCCAGCCCCCCAAACCCCCCCCCCCACAACTAGGATCATAGTACTAATTAGTATTTGTTGAGGGCTTATTGTGTGTCAAGCCCTATTCTAAAACACTTTGCCTGTAGAGATCCATGTTATCCTCTCAATAAGCCTACACGCTATTCTTATTCCCACTTTGCAGATGTAAGGACTGAGACACAGAGAGGTTGTGAGGGCGGTGGTTGCACACACAGACTTGAAGTCTACTGCCGCCACACTACAGGGATGTTGGCTAGGGGAGGGGAGGACTAGGAAGCTCTGGATGAGGATCCAGCTGGTCCCTGTCCCTTGCAAAGCTGCAACCAGAGTGTGGCAGGCGCTGCAGCTGGAGGAGGGTCTGAACACAGCAGTGAGGACTGTGATCCCTGGGCTGGGCTCCGCAGTCTTGGACACCGTCCAGCCCCTGTCATGTGGGGTCCCCCTGGCTAGGACGGGCAGGATGGCAGGCTGGCCTCTCAGAGGCTCTTCCTCTCCCTTCCCCCCGCCCCTGACCCCGCAGCCCCTCCCTGAATCATAAAACCAGACCCCAGTCCCGACTATTTCTCAATCCCTAAGAGCCCAGTTCCTGTGGGCAGCACTTGATGCGCCTGACCCTCTCCTTTCCGCAATTCGAGGGAAAGGCGAGATCTTACACAAGGTACCCGGTGTCCGCCTTCCGCAAGGGAAGCCTGACATGGAGCCTCTCTGGCTGCTTATCCTTTCGGCCGTCACAGGTAGGATCCCGTCTTGCTGCTGCCCAGACTTCTCTCCTTCCCCTTCTTGAACATATGGTGGGTGGGTGGGCGGGCGGGGAATGCTGGGCCCAACTCTAAAGGTGGTTGAAATCCTCGGCATGGTCTGCACCCGCTTTTCCCTGCTCGCCCCACATTCTTCACGCTCTCCCTCCCTCTCCAGGAGGAGAACCCACTGTCTGACTCTTCGTGCCCATGGAAGTATGAGGGGCTGGTGACTCTGGCCATATGGAAAAGCAAAGGATTCTGAGTGTGGCACCTCAGGCATTAGCTAGCAGTTGGGGAGAGTTTGGGGGGGCACCGGTAAGAGCCCCGAAAACGATGCACCGCTAGCCCCGGAGGAATGGCAGGGTGGGAGGGAAGAAAGAGAGGAGGAAACAACTCGTAGCTGAGGATGTACATCTTCTGACGTGAGGGTCTTGTCCTCAGCCCTGGATGGGAGATAGGGGAGCTGAAGATTCCCGTCACCGAGCTGGGAGATTGACACCCCAGACTGTTACACACGACTACCTCCTTTCATTGGGGAAGGTGCCTCTTGCTCCCCGAGGGCAATGGGGGGGTGCGGTGGGGAGACGGGGGGCTGCCTGGAGGCAGAGGGATGGATAGGGTAACAAGTGTGGGGAGCACTGTTCCCTCAGGTCTCTCTGGCTCAAAAAGCAGGCCACCGGCCCCCTAATCTTGTCTTCCAAATCTGTTACCATATGGTTGAAGATGGGGTAAGGGAGACCAAGAGAGGGGAAGTCGAGGCAGAGGGCCCCAGATGATTCCCGGGTAGCCCCTGCCCTGGCAATAGCCCGTGCTTTAAGCCTATCTCCCCCACCCCAAGAAGGGTCCTCAAAATAGCAGCCTCATGTCTCCCCCCAAAATAGCTCGGAGATGAGTCTCTCCTGAAAGGGGAACAAAGCCACAGAAATAGGGAAGCTGGGAACTAAAGGTCAGAAGGAGATGCAGAGCCGGGGTCTGCGTGGGCCGCTGCAGAGTAAGCACGAACGGCCGGGGCAGGGAGGGGGGTATCCAGCCCAGACCCGAGGGGGCCACTGGCTCTGCTCCCTTCGAGCCTAGAGGAGAGATCTTGACCCCCCCCCCCATACGATAGGGATAAAATGGATGGAATAGAATTCGAGGGAGCTTCAAGGCTAATGTCTCTGGAAATAGGCCTAGAGAGGGACAGTTACTTCTTTAAAAATGCCCAGCAAGTCCAGCGGTTGTCAAAGCCAGACCCGGGACCTGGGTTTCGTGGTGGGCTGTGCACCGTCTCCCAACTTATATAAGAACCTGAGCTCCTTATGGGCAAGATTCCTGTCTCTTTGTTCACTGCGCACCGTAGGAGTTCAATAAACATTTGGTGAATGAACGAAGAATGAATGAATGTCTCCCCCCCAGAGCTGTCCCGAGCCCACAACGCCACCATATTCCAGGGCATGGCGGGCCGGGCATTGCAGGTGTCTTGCCCCTACAACTCCTTGAAGCACTGGGGGAGACGCAAAGCCTGGTGCCGCCAGCTGGATGAAGAGGGCACGTGCCAGCGGGTGGTCAGCACCCACCGCTCGTGGCTGCTGTCTTTCCTCAAGAGGTGGAATGGGAGCACGGCCATCGTGGATGATGCCCTGGGGGGCACACTCACCATTACGCTGAGGAATCTTCAAGCCCACGATGCTGGCCTCTACCAGTGCCAGAGTCTCTATGGTGATGAGGCCGACACCCTCAGGAAGGTCCTGGTGGAGGTACTGGCTGGTGAGTGGGTGGCTGACGGCACCTCTTGCCCCCCGCTGGGCTGGGACTGTGTCTCCAATGTCTGTGCACAGGATCACCCTCTAGACCACCCTGGGAAAACCCACAGTGCGGATCTTGCACTCCCACTTCAGGGGCATGGTGGGTGGTTGTGCAGGTTGCTCACTGCACAAGGGGACCACACTCCAGCCCTGGCACCCCTCTCCAGGCTGTGCTCCCTGCATCGCTTACAGGAAAGGTTCTGGGCTCTAATTTGCACCAGGCACCCAATAAGCTGGTTGAGCTCCTGCCTCTCTCAATAGCTTTATCCATTCGGCATCCAGTTAGGATGTGAACACTGTACAGTGCTCCTTAAGGAGTGAGTAGTAGGAAGTTTGTTTACTCCCTCACCCAAGTATCCAAAGGACCTGTAAACATAAATTAAGCACCAACCTGGTGCAGAAAACAGCCTTAGGAAAGGACACTGCCCATGCCCCAGGGTGATGTGCTTCACCTCTCTGAGCCTCCGTTACCTTATTTTTAAATGGATGATGATTGTCCTGCTGCCCCCACAGGGCTCCCATGAAGCATCGGTGAGGTGACAGAGTTAAAAATGGTGGGGGTAAGTGACAGCCCACACCCCAGCCTCCTGCTGCAGAGCTGACCCGGGATCCTCATGCCAGGCTTGCCTAGGTGACACAGGGTGACAGTAGGGTCCCCCCGCCACCTCGAGCTTTGCACAGGAATGCCCTCCAGGAAAGCCTTCTGCCTGTGTCTCCAGAACACTATGTATCCCAGAGGAGAACAAATCTGGGGGTTCATGCCCCCTTTCTGACTCTCCCCCTTCCCAAGTCTCCCCCACAACATGGTCCCTTATAGTGGAAATGAGCCATTTGCCGAAGGTTTAAGATGGAGAGGGGAGGGGAGACGATTTTCCCTAGACCCAAACCCCACGGCCACCACTTTTTATGTGGACAAGTGGCAGCAGAAGGTGAGGAGACACAAATTGTCAGCCCTATTAGGATCTAAGCCGCAGCCAACTCCCAAGAAGGGGGCAGGAAAATAACATTATAATAATAATACTCCATTGCTGGTGTAGATCGCTTGACAGTTCACAGAGAACTTTCAAATACATCCTTTCATCCATTTGACCTTCCCAAAGACCACGTGTGCTGGGCGGGTGGGAGTAGCAGTTTCGGAGCTCCAATGAGGTGCTAAGTGCCACACAGGACGCTCTCACTGCATCCTGCAACACTATTATAAAGAAGGTCTTTCTACTCTCCCACTTAACAGGTGAGGAGACTGAGGCTCAGAGAGGTTAATGACCTGATCTGGTCCAAGCCAGAGCCTAGGGGGCCTCATGACACCGAGATGGGTTCTCCCACTGTGAGTGGCTGCCTCAAGGAGGAGGGGCTAGAAGCTCATAGGCTCTGTCTCCCACAGACCCCCTCGATCACCTGGACCCTGAAGGTCTCTGGGTCCCTGAGGAGTCCAGGAGCTTCGAGGGTGCCCAGGTGGAGCGCAGCATGGCCAGGTACAGAGGTGGGGCAGGCTTCCACCCTGTGGAGCCCAGACCTGGGATAGAGGCAGGGGTCCTAGAGCGACCAATTCCCGCACAATTAGAGCATGACAATGGGCCTGGAGGTGGTCTGTAGCAACACCCCTCTGACCAGCCATTGTGTGTTGGCGTGGCCATGGCAGTGGTTAACATGTTGAAATTCCTTTTTTATAAGCAGCTGCTGCTCCAAGACTCCTGGTCAGCCTCACATTCCTTCCCTGGCCGCCCTTGGACATCCCCACGCTGTAGCAACAATAAAAGTTTTAGTACAAAACTAGAACCCCCCCCCCCCCCCGCCCCCTGATATCGGCTCCTTTGGTAGGGCCAGAATCAGCTCTGATTGGTTCATTCCTTTGGTGTTGAAATATTGTTAATACAACCATGGAGTGCACATGTGCATGTACACACACACACACACACACACACACCCCAGACGATACTATTATGCACAGCAGGAAACTGCCCAGCAAAGGAAGGTGATGTGTTTAAACATAGTCGGCAGGTAGATCTGTACCTAGAACTCAGGGGTCCTGACTACAGGCTCTCCCAAGCCTCACCCCAGGGATGGTGCTGGGTGGGGAGCTCTTCTAGACCCTGAAAGCTCCTGGTGTCTCCCCGTTCCTTCTCTGTAGGCAGACTGCTGTGTGTAGGCCACCCCAAGGCCTCCCTCATGTCTTCCTTGTGTCTTCAAGGAGTCTCTCAGAAGAGGCTACTCCCTTCCCACCCACTTCCATACTCTTCCTCCTGGCCTGCATCTTTCTGGGCAAGCTTTTAGCAGCCAGTGCCCTCTGGGCTGCGGCCTGGCATGGGTGGAAACTGGAGGCGCCCCGGGCCAGCGGGCTGGACGGTAGCCATGACCCAGGTTACCAGCTCCAGACCCTGACAGGTGAGCGTGAAGGGCGCAGTGGTGGATGGGGGTGGGCTGGGCAGGGGTGGCGAGCTGGGGCTCAGAGGGGCTGTGCGAGCACTCGGTCGGTTGCAGGGCGAAGAGGCACATGAGAGAAGACACATGGGAAGAGAGGCCCCGGGAGAGGTCCGCTGGAGCCGCCCCAGCTGCACACCTGCCCCTCAGCCACCAAGAGTCCTGGTTCTGCTTTGGCGAAAGGCCACCCTGCTCACACCCTGCTTCCCCTGGTCCCTGGGAACAGAGGGGTGGGGGGTGTGTGTGTGTGTGTGTGTGTGCGCAGGCACACCGGGAAAGTGGAAAGGACATTCGCCAACTTGTAGACATTGGTTTATTAAACACTCTCACAAATAAATCCAAGATTTCTCTTTTGCTACCAGGCTAGGAGAATGAATTTGGATGAGGAAAAGATAAAAGGTCAGCCATCTTGGGGCCTTGGGTCTCAGGCTACTGCGTCACTCTGTTCTCCTGGCCTCCAAACTGCCCATCTTTTTCTTTTCCCTCGCGCCCTTTCCTAGGTCTAATTGCTGGATCCTGCCTCCTCATCTGGGGTTTCTCTGGCATCCAGTCTGGCGCCCCCTCCTCCACTTGCCTCCTGCCCATCCATTCCCGAGGACCATTGTGGCCCACCTCCCCCACCCATCAGTCCATCTAACTCCCAGCTGACTCATCCATTGGCTTCCCCAGACCTCTGCTTTCATCGTGCTACTTCCCTCCATGGAAACACCCAGAGCAGGACTCATGGAGTGCAGCACACCAGAGCTGCGAACTACTGGTCTGAGCCCCTCACTGCACAGAAGGGAAACTGAGGCTTACAAGGGAAAGACGTCTCCCCAAACCCCTAGTAGAGCCTGGAAGTGCAAATTTCACTTTGTGTTCACACTGCCCTTTCCTCTAGCTCAATCCTACTCGTTTATTCATTGATTTGTGCAACAGATATTTTCTGTGCCAGGTACCGTTCTGGGCGCTGGAGACAACCGAGAACCAAACAGGCAAAGATTCCTGCTCATACAGAGGCCCGGGCCCAGGGGAGGGGAGGGAGACAGACACAACAAGTGAGTCAGCCAGCTGGTAAGCTGGAAGGCAAAAGCGCCCAGAAGGAAATGGCCAGCGAAGCCGGGCTAGGCGCACTGAGGGTGCACAAGGGACAGGGGTGATGTAATTTAGCGGGCGGCGGAAGGAGCTGGCAGGGTGAGTGGGGGGGGAGAGCACCAGGCCAGAGGGACTCATTTTTCCCCCAGCACACACACCACTGTGGACCGAGTGAGGGGAATGGGGACGCAGACTTACCCAGGGAGGGCTGTGGGGGGAGGAGCCCATCCTCGGGCTCTCTGTCCCAAGCCTCTGTGAGGTGGAAACCTGGGACCCTCTGTGGCTGAAGCCACAAGGGGGAGTTTTGCCCCCAGCCATGGGCTTTCAGATCGTTGGGAAGGACCCCCGATGCAGCCCTCCTGTCCAGCCTCAGGTGCACACATCACTCCCCGGAGCCAGCCCTGCCCGGCCCTGCCCAGCCCTGCCTGGCTCCCTCCCGGAGGAGGCAGCTGCTGTACCCACCCTGCCCCCAGCTCCTGGGACGCTGGGCCCGGCTGTGTGACCCCGGCCCTTGGACTCAGCCGCATGTAAAGCTTCCTCATTGTGTCCCAGACACTGGTCTCCTTCCTGAAGACCCGAGTCACTGTCTAGCAGCCAAGGCGCACAGCTCCCCGTGCCTGGCATGAGAGCACGTCTGCAGCTTCACCTGCTCTTGGGAGCTTGGCTTTTTCTCTTTCTTTCTTCCTCCACCACATTGGAGATGTCTCTCTGGGGGCTCAGACCACCGCTGGGACCCCCTGCCTTGGACTCTCTTGGGTGCATACTGGACTGAAGGAGGGGGGTCAGGTAGTTTAGTTTCAAATTTCAGCTTTGCCTCCTACTAAGAAACCTTAAGCGAGTTCCTTAACCCTTCTGAACTTCAGGGTCCTCACCTATAAAAAAAACAAAACAGGGGCACCTGGGTAGCTCAGTCAGTTAAGCGTCTGACTCTTGATTTCGGCTGAGGTCATGATCTCATGGACATCAAGGCCCGCATTGGGCTCTGTGCTGGGCATGGAGCCTGCTTAAGATTCTCTCTCTCTCTCTCTCTCTCTCTCTCTCTCTCTCTCTCCCTCCCCCCACTTACACTCTCTCTTAGAAAACAAATAAACAACAGAAACAAACAAACAAGCAACCCGGCTTTGCTGAGGCTTTGTGAGGTTGAAAGAAATACCATTGGGGCACCTGGGTGGCTCAGTTAGTTAAGCATCCAACTTTAGCTCAGGTCTTGATCTCAAGGTTTATAAGTTTGAGCCCCACGTTCAACTCTGTACTGACAGCTCAGAGCCTGGGGCCTGCTTCTGATTCTATGTCTCCCTCTCTCTCTCTCTGTCCCTCTCCCACTCACACACATTCTCTCTCCTTCAAATATAAATAAACATTAAAAAAAGTTGAAAAAAAAAAAAACATTAGTGAAAGTCTCAGGGCCAATGTCTGGTGCAGAATAGTCCCAAATAAACACTGGCTTCCTTCCTCTTCTCTAATGTCCACCATCTGACACCTCCCTGAGGCCAGGATCCTGCCTGGTCATCTCTGTCCTTTGTACCCAGCAGTGGACTGTATCCGTTTTAGGCACTCAGATATTGAGGACAGGCCTCTCTTCATAACACTTCAGTGGCCTGTTAGTATAAGGACTTTCTCGCAAGGAAACCAAAGAAAGCCTGATACATATTGGTAGGACAGATATAAGTGTTTCCACATCACCCACGAGGCAGACCCAGCCGTCTGGTTTGCCCCAGACTTTGCCAGTGTGTCACCAAAAGCCCCGTGTCCCTCAGGAAAACCTGTAGCCCTGGGCAGACGGGACAACTGGTCACCCTCTCACCACTTCCAGCTTAACGCACTATCCGGCTGTCTCAGGCTCCTGTTCCCAGGTCCCACTGGCAACTCCCTTGTTCCTGAAGGAAGGAGGGGGTTGAGAGTGGGACGGAGGAGAGAAGGGAGGGGTGAGGAGGGAGGGAGGGTAGCCGTTTCTTTAGCCCCTTTCCAGGTGTGATGTCTAGGTCAGGGGCAGGCTGCCCCTTCCGGCCATCCTCACCTTACCTGCCCTTGTCTCTCAGAGCACTGGTGCCCCCTCTGGAGTCCCAGGTCAGGCGTGGTATCGTCCACATTCTGTGCGGGGTAAACCCCAGTTCTGCACAGGGGGACACGGAATGGGGGCCAGATGTTTCCCGTGCCGGCGGTGGGTTTGTGTCATGGGAAAGGAACCCCAAATTATGAGACTTATCAGCTCTTATGGGCATATCAGCCCATCTTCCTTTCTGGGGGTGGGGAGAGGGAGAGGGAGGAAGAGAGAGAGAGAGGAAGAGAGAGGGAGAGAGAGATAGAGAGAGGGAGAGAGACCTTTACTCTGGAAGGTAAACAGATCTTCTCTAGGGAAGGGGGTAGGGGGTGTAAGCAAATCCCTCGGGAGCTGATACACACTCTCTCTCTAGCTTCCAAGGCATGTTTGCTATTCGATAACCCTCGAACAAACCTTGATCAGTGCCCAGGCCACGGAGAAACGTGAAAATATCCGCAGAGAACGGCCTCCCCACAGACAGGATAGTGCACTCGTGAAACAAAAATAATACGCTGTAAAAAAATGTTCAGAGAATCAGAAATCTTGTCAAGTGAAAATGCTAAGAATAAAAATTCCAAAGGGACGAAAGAAAAAGGATGAGGATATCTTCTGGGAATGAGATCAAAATGGACAAAAAGATGGGAAATGAGGGAGAAAAGTTATGACAAGGGGATGAATACACGAGGTTCAATACCCACCTAATGAAGGGGTTCCAGAAAACATGGGGAAAGAAGAAAAGGGAGCATAATTATCAAAGGGTCGATGCAGCTCCCGGAGGGGGAGAACGTGGCTCCACACCAGCAGGGACTGGAGGGCACAGTAAATGAAGGCCGTCTGGGTGTCGCCAGGGTGGGGCATCCTGGCGTGAGGTCCTGCGGCCGGACAGGACGGGACAGTCCCCCGAGGGCTCGGGCCAGTGCACTCCTTGCAGAATTGAGAACGCGAAGGGTGCTTCACCTTCCTCCTTCACAGCTCTGTATCCTCGGATTCTATTTCTGGAAGACCCCAGGGTCATCCTCCCTGGGCCTCCACTGCCTTCCAGTTTCCACCATCCTCCTGCCGGAGGAGCCCAGGTCCTGCCTGTCCTTGGGGCTTCTTCTCACTCTGCCTGCCCCACCCCTGCCTCCCCTTGGGGGCAGCTCCCCAGCCCGGAAGCACCCCGGCTCTGGAAGAGCGCCTTATCCTTACCCTTGGAGGGGCCCCCAGGGTCCGCCCCCCACCGCAGGACAGCTGAGAGCCCCACGTGACTGTCCAAGGCAGATGTTTCCTGCTCCCTGGGGAATGCTGTGTCAGTGGCCAGGCAGGCCCCAGAGCTGATATCTCCCTGACCCACCATGGGCCCCAACCCGCTGCCGCTGCTGCTGGTGGGACTGGCAGGTAAGGTGAGAAGGGGCTGCGCTCTGGGCCCCATGAAGTCCGATCGGTGCCCAGGAGTAACTGGCGTGGTGGCAGCACCAGTGACATAGGTAGGGCCCTGAAGCTGGACGTCTAGTTCCCCGTGCCCCTGGGCCAAGTGGGCGGGCTGGAAAGGTCCCCGGGCTCGCATTCCCACCTCCCTTCCTTCCGCAGCCCAGGCAGCCACCGGCAGCTTCCCGGAGGTGCTGCAGGCCCCCGTTGGGGGCTCCATTCTGGTGCAGTGCCACTACCGGCTCCAGGACGTCAAGGCTCGCAAGGTGTGGTGCCGGTTCCTGCCGGATGGCTGCCAGCCCTTGGTGTCCTCGGCGGTGGATCGCGGAGCCCCGGCGGGCGGCCGCATGTTCCTCACGGACCTGGGGGGCGGCCTGCTCCAGGTGGAGATGATCACCCTGCGGGAGGAGGACACGGGCGAGTACGGCTGCGTGGTGGAGGGGGCGGCGGGGACCCAGACGTTGCACAGGGTGGCCCTGGACGTCGTCCCTCCAGGTGAGTCATCCTAGGCTGGCTGTTGCTCCTCCCCGCCCCCACCTGCTGCTCTCGGGCCCTTGGGGGGGGGGGATGGGGACCCTTCGCGGGGTAGGGGGATGCGGACTGGGACAGCACCCCGGGGAGCGGAAGCGGAGCTGGGTGAGCAGTCAGAGATAACCGAGCCGGGACAGCAGGTCCCTTCCCCCTCCTGCACTAGCGGGGTTTCCCCGCTGGAAGGCACGTCTGTCCTTCCGCACCCATGGCCTTGACCTCCTCATCCCGCATTTTCCACATACTTGATGCTTTATTTTTTTCCTTAGAAACATTTTTATATTATTTTTTACATTTATTTATTTTTGAGAGACAGAGACAGAACACAAGCGGGGGAGGGGCAGAGAGAGAGAGAGAGAGAGGGAGACCCAGCATCCGAAGCAGGTTCCAGGCTCTGAGCTGTCAGGACAGAGCCAGACCTGGGGCTCTAACTCACAAAAACTATGAGATCATGACCTGAGCTTAAGTCTGATGCTTGGCTGACTGAGACACCCAGGCGCCCCTTTCCTTAGAAATGTTTTAAACAACGTTTTAATTTGGGCATTTGTCAACTGGAATTTGGTTTTTACACCTTCCAGTTTATTACTCCCATTATAATGGGTTTGATGGCTTAAAATGACCGAATTCGGATTTTATTGAATTTTACGTCTTCACTGAGCATCTAGGATGCGCCTCACCTACAAGCAGGCGTGTTTAGTGCCTGGATTACTTCAACTCCTTTAGTTTTAACAATGAGAAAAGTCACTCCTGGTTCGCCATGGGTTGCCAACCCTATCCTCTGCAGAGAAAGGACTTTATTTTGGTAGGCTGTGGTTTTCTCTCCCGGCCAACTTTCTAATGTCTAAGCATTTATTAAAAGAAAATTTTAAGGTAGGAGAAAAAATCTTCCAGAGAAATTGGATGTTGTAAAACAACACAAACACAAACACACAAACAAAAACAATGTCCTGTAGGGAAAACGGCCAGCTTCCTGCTGAAACAGAGCCTGTTTTCACCTTTCGCTTAGGGGTGATGATGTCTTTTTCGTCTTTAGGTCTTCCTTCCTCAAGTAATTTGTGCCCCGAATAAGGAAATGAAGAAAGGCATTTTTCCTGCCCTTGGTTTTTTCCCCATTTGTTAATTATGAGGACAGACTATGATGTCCTTAGAATCCCTTTCATCTCTGGTCCATGATTATTATTTTACATTGTAAATATGCTCCTGTTGGCCCTAGTCATTCCCTGTTCTCCTCCTTCCTTGGCACTGTAAGGTCTGGAAATTCAAGGCCATAGGACAAGATGCACTGAGGAGAAAGGCAGGTGCTGGGGACCCGATGCTGTAGATGGTGGATGCTTGGGCCTGGCTGGTGAAGCATTGCTTTCAGGGAGGATGTGGGTGGCTTAAAGGGCACATATAGGAAGATGCTGTGAAGACACAGCAGGATCTGGTTTGGTTTGGGGTGGGATGTGGGGATGGCGAGCCTCTGAGAAGAAGGAAGACCACACCTCCTGAGGGTCTAGAAGGACTGGCCGGGTTCCCAAGAGAGATCGTCTGGCCCAGAGAAACCAGCCCCGAGTCCGACAGCCAGAAGTTGAGCACAGTGGAGTAGGGACAATAGAAGCCTCGTCACAAAACTGGGTCTGGGGGTCTGAGCAAGGCTCTCAGCAAGGGTCCCTTGGTACTGTGTCACATTAGGGGTGACCCTGGAATTCCTCAGATCCTGAGGGCAGAGCTTGGGATGCTCCCCCCCCAGCAGGGGGTTACACGGTTGCAGGTAGATAGAGAAGTCTAGCGGGTTGTGCTGAGGCCCCTTTAGAGACCAGTGGATGAGTGAACAAGGTTGTCACTTCGGGACGGGAGTGGAGAGCCTATTCTGGGGTGGGGTGGAGAGGTGGGCGCAGATTATCCAGTGTGTGGATCCACATAGGCTGAGCAGCGTGAGAGGCCAGGGAGTGTGGGGGAACAGGTGAGGAGGAATGCAAGGGCAATGGTTGGGAGCTGGTGGTGGAAGGGAAAGAGGGCTGGGTCACCAGTGGGTAAAGACAAAAAGAGTCTACCCTTGATCTCCAGAATGAGGGCCCCTAAGGAATATGCCAAGCCCCCATCTGTGTTTCTTGCTTGGGACCTGCCCTTCCTTGGCCCCACTCCCCCAGTCCCTCAGACCTCAACAGGTCCCCGACCCTATCCACACTGGGTGTGTGCTCATGAATATTTCCTTCTGACTCAGCTCCTAGCCCAGAAGAGGAAGAGGATACCTATAAGGTTGGGAGTCTGGCTGATGGCCCCTCCTTAGACACTGCGGGCAGTGCCAGCCCTTTGGAACCCAGCCAGGATGAGAAGAGGTACTGATAAGAGCTGTATTCAGGGTCCAGGAAAAGGCTGGTGGTTGGAAAGGGTGGTGAAGGCTTATTCAGAGCCCCAGGCTAACTCAAAGGGAAACCTCACGGTTCCTTCCACCTCTGGGGAACTTCCCATCAGGCAGGAGGTCAGGCAGACCTCCCTGTCCACCCCAGTTCAACAGTGACCCCTTTATGCCCATGGGTCTCCGGCCAGAATAACCTGAAAATGTGTTTCTCTTCTGCCCTGCCTGAGCTGCCCTCCCCCTTCCATCCCCCAAATCCTCTTCTCCCAACCATGGCTCACCGGGAATTGCACCTTTCTGCCACCGCCCTGGGTTCCTGGTGAGCAGCTTCCTGCCAGGTTCAGGCCTGAGCTCTCCTATCCCTCTGTGTCCTTCAGCATCCTGTTGATCTGGGGTGCTGTGCTCCTGCTGGGCCTGCTGCTGGTGGCAGCCGTGCTGTTCGCTGTGATGGCCAAAAGGAGAGGTAGGTAGCAGGCTACCTGCACACCCCAGCACTGCCCCCGCTGGTCCTGGACCGGCCAGTCTTGTAGACAATGCCAGGAGTCTAGGGCTGCTTCCCCTATAGAAGGGCTCATCTGGGCTTTAGGGAGGCGCCCTAGGCCCTAGAAGTCCCCAGCTAAGGGGCGGATGGGAGGAAGGAGACTCAGTGAGAGCCGGCCTGGGGACAGACAGGAATTGGACAGGGTGGGGCAGTGGGATAGAGACAGGTGCCGGGAGGAGGTGGGGAAGGGTCTCAGGAGATGGGCTGAGAGTTGAGGCCGGTTGGAGGAAGCTGGAAGCAGTAGTGGGTGGGTGGGTGGGTGGGTGAGTGTATCCTCGTGGGCTGGGGCAGAGCTGGTGTCTGGTGGGAGTGGGCTGGAGAGTCTGCCTAGGAAAGAGACTTCTGAGGGGGATGAGGGATGGGCGCTGAGCCAATACAGGAAGCAGACTGTGCTGCTGTCCTCTGTCCTCCCAGGGAACAGGCTTGGTGTCTGTGGCCAATCTCAGAGCAGCGGAGTTTCAGGCATGGTAAGAGGCCTCTGCAGGCCCCCAGCCAAATTCCCTGGATCTTCCATCTGTGCAGCTCACTGAGAGGTCCCAGGATGAGGGGGTAGTAAAAGACGGGGACCCAGTCAGAGTCCAAACCCTCTTCCTGAATGCTATGAACTTGGCACCGGTGGTCTTCCACCTTCCTACCTTGGTATTTCACCCTCCCAGATTTGGGGAGAAACTTGGGGCTTGAAAATCTTCAGAGTGAAGCCTTCTTCCTCACTGAAGTACTCAGGATTTGAGAGACAGAGCCAGTGTGGTCCTGGGCTTCCCCCCAGAGGGAACTGGGGCAGAAGGAGGCATTCTCTCTGCCTCACTTGTCTGCTTTTCTTACAGGCCTCCTCCTTAGTGGTCCACCACATCAGTGACTCTGGCCTGGGAGTTGATTTGCCATCGGACATACCATATGCTAGACTCGACTCGCCACCTTCCTTTGACAGCACCACCTATAGCAGCCTACCTTTTGATCCTCCATCAGGGGAATCCCCACCCCCAGTCCAGTCCTCATCGCCCCCTCTGCCTCCTAAGGTCTTGCTGTACTCCAAGCCTGTGACATATGCCACAGTCATCTTCCCTGGAAGGGACAAGGGTGGGGGGGCCACCTGTGAGCCAGCCCAGGACCCACCGACTAGCCAAATGCCACCCAACTAAGCTGTTCATCATATTCTTTATTCACAGAGACCATCTTCAGAGTTCTACGCATCTAGTCAGCCTGCCTACACCATAGATCCTTAGGATATCAGAACAGCTGGGAATTTAGGATCTAATCTAACATCTTGACCCTTCTCATCTAAAAAGTGATACTTACATGTGATTGAGGTGTCCTGGGAACCCCCCATGCTGGTTCCTCTGCCCTTATACCACTGAGCTAAATAAACTCTGAATGATAATACATGAGCTCTTGATGGTTTTCGGGGAAGGAGAGGGCCTGAGTTTGACTATTCACGTGGCCTGGGAACTCTATAAAGATTCTGGTCCGGGGTTTGTGCTCTGATTTCCTGCCTGTCCTGCCAGTGAGGGCATGGCTTCATTCCTGGTCAGAATTCCGGGCTGCGGTCTGATTCAAGGGGGCACCAAGAAGGTGTCTTCAAATGTATATCCTGCTTTCTCAAGATACCTGAGAGTACAGATACATTAGTTTGAGTCTAGAAATCTCTCCTGCCTTCTGCTCTGCACCTTGTGAACAAGTGACATCTTAAGACAGGACAACATAAGATGGGAGGAAGGGGAAAATGATAAGACTCAGGACAGATGGGATGGGAGAGATGGAGCTGAAAAGAAATAGGAGTAAGATCAGAAACTGAAATAAATCCCGTCTATTCCTTGGCAGCACAAAGGCTGTTCAAGAAGCAGGAGATAAAAGGCCTCTGCAGACAGGTTGTATCAGAGCTGGCTTTCTCTCAACTGGGTGGACATGTGGTAGCACTGTTGCCTTTGGCCTGACATCTAGGGCCTGGGAAGAGCCTGGTGGAGAGAAGGCATGGTGTGGGAAGAAGGGGAATGAGTGGTAAAGGTGTGGCCGTTGCTAAGTGTACATGAAAGCTAGTCTGGGCTGGGGGTGGAAGGGCCTTTAAGGTCTCAGGATTTCTTCTGAAACTGTTCAATTTGAAAGTCTTTGCCCATAGTGAGATGAGAGACAGGTGGAGAGGATGAGGTGCTCGGGGACCTATTCTTCTTATAATCACAGAGAGCTAGGCATAAAGAGGTTGTCACCATTGGAGGGGCCCTAGATTTGGTCTAGGTACCTGAGGTGAGGGGACAGGTGGGGCCTGTATCCTGCGTTCCAGCTGAGGAAGTCTAGTGATGCTATTTTCAGCAAGCTCTGGCAGGATATTCAGAGCTTCCCCTAATACAGTCTCAGCCTGTGACAGGACCTAAATTTATTTATGTCCCTATGGAGGCAGCAGCTGCCCACCAATCAACTAAGCCCTCACTTTCCCTGGATAAGATGCCAGGGGACTTGCCTGCTGGGGAGGAGGGGTGGTGAGGGGTGGAGATAATTCAGGGGAAGGGCAGGATAAAGTCTAAAAGAACCCTTCTGGGAAAAACCTGGTCTGGATATAGTCTGAACTTTTTCGAGCCTGACAGAAGTAAATGTATATTTAACAACACAAAGGAAAATACTAAGATCCATTGACTGGTAGAGAAGATAGGCAGAGGAAGGGGAAATATATGAATTCCATCATTGCTTATGGTAGAAGTCTATGAATACCAACCCAAGTCTCCATTAAAAAGTAACTTCTGAGATGAAAAGATGGATCTTCTATATTTTATCATAAAAACACATGAAAACAAAAGAAAATGCAGGTGACATGACCAGCCCATTGCTTCATATCAGAACCTTTGGAATGTAGCTAACAGAGTTCTCAGAGGAAAAGTCACACCCTCAACAATAAGAATTAAGCATCTGACTCAAATTGCTAGTTCATTTTAAAGGAGAAAAATTATGTAACTAATACATAAATAAAAGAGCTTATTCTTTGAAATGAAATATAAGAAACAGTATTAGCTAACTTACTCACAAAGAAGGATGAAATAAGAAATGACAAGGGGGAAATAATCACAGCTATAAAGACAATTTAAAAAAAATAATGAGAGTATTCTGTACTGCTGGTGGTGGTTAGGGTGGGAGGAATGAATATAGAGAAAGCCTGAAATAACTTCTTGGGGTGATTGAAATGTTCTCTGTTATGACTGTAGTAGTGCTCATATGGGTGTATATATTTGTCAAAACCCAACATTAAAATAGGTGCACTTTCTTGTATGCAAATTATGTTTTGATGAAGTTGATAGTTAAAAAAATATTTGAAAGGCCACTGGGGATTATTTAAAATAATAGAGAATAATAAAATAATAGAGAAGAAAATGCTGTTTATTACACAAAAGTCAGAAGCCATAAAGGAATTCATAGATACATTAAAACTGACACATTAAAATAGATTAAGGAAAGACTGGTATCTCTTTCTTCATGACAAAAGCATAATAAACAAAGACAAAACACAAAATGAAGAAAAATTCTGCAACTCGTACAAAGGCCGAGAGCTCATTTCTCTAACCCCTATAAATCAATAGGTTATGGTCATAGGATATATAAATATAGCTCACAAAAAAAGGAAATATAAACAGTAAAGATGTTTAACTTCATCAAAGGGAAATGCAATTTAAAAATACATTGAAATGAATTAAAACAAAATGGTTTAAGAATTCAGAAAATTCTCTCTTCCATAAAAGCAACATGAAAACTGGCAAAAAATAGTTACAATCAACCTTTTTAGAACTCTGGAAACCAATGGCTGCATCAACCCAAGGAGTCTTTACTTAGGAAAATTGGCTTTTCCCACCTCTCATCTGATTTAAAACCCAACTTACTTACACATCTGTAAGTATTGATAGGCGCACCATTTATTAAGATGTAACTTTTTCAACACTTATAATATGAAAGAGTGGGGAAGGAATGGGGCTATATAGGAGCAAAGTTTTTGTATATTGTTGAAACTAAGTTGGTATACATATAAACTAGATTGTTTTAAATTAAAAGGCTAATTGTAATCCTTAGAGCAAGGAAACAACTCAAAAACATAGTAAAAGAAATAACAAGGGAATTAAAATGAAATTAAAATTGTGTATTTAATATAACAGAAGACAGTAGAGGAAGAGAGGGGCAACAAGACATAAGACAGGTAGAAAACAAGATGGCAGACATAAATCCTATCTTATCAGTAGTTAGTTACATTGAATGTAAGTAAATTAAACATTCCAATTAAAAGCCAGATATTGACAGAATGTATTAAAAGGCACATGATCCAACTATATGCTTCCTATAAAAGACAAACTTTAGATTCAAAAATATGAGTAGGTTTACTATAAAAGGATGGAAACACATGTACCATGCAAACTAGCTAAAGAAAGGTGGAGTGGCTATATTAATGATATAAATTTTATATCAGATAAAAGGACATTTTATAATGATAAAAAAATCAGTCCATTAAGAAGATATGATACTTATAAGTATATATGTACCTAACAATAGCATTTCAAAAGACATAAAGCAAAACTGACAGAACTAAAGGGAGAAATAAACAATTAAATAGTAAGAGTTGTAGACTTCAGTATCCCACTTTCAACAATGGATAGAGCAAGGTAGGTAGGTGGAAATAGCAGACATGAACAACACTATAAAAACCAACTAGACCTAATAGACATCTGTAGAACACTTCAACCAAATACAGCAAAATACAATACAAATTCTTCCAAGTATATATGCAACATTCTCCAGTATAGACCATATATCTAGTTATAAACAAGTTCTTGAAACATTTAAAAACGTTGAAATCATTCAAAGTATGCTTTCTGACTACAATGGAATGAAATTAGAAATAAATAACAGAAGTAAATTTTGGAAACTCACAAATATGTGGAGATTAAACAACACACTTCTAAATGACAAGTGGGTCAACAAAGAAAGCATGAGAAATTATAATTTCTTTGAGATGAATAAATACAAAAACATGATATAGCAAAACTTAGGGGAGTCAGCAAATCAGTTCTTAGAGGGAAATTTATGGCTGTAAACACCTATTTTAAAAAAGAAAAAAGATCTCAAATCAACAACCCAACTTTCTACCTGAAGAAACTAGAAACTGAAGAGCAAATTAAGCCCAAAGTTAGCAGAAGGATGGAAATAATATAGAACAGAAATGAATGAAATGGAGAACAGGAAAAGAAAAAAAATCAACACAATCAGGTGTTGTTTCTCTGAAAAGATCAAAATTAATAAACCTTAGCTAAGTTTACTTTCCTAGCCAAACAAACAAACAAACAAACAAAATTCCAAACAAAGAGAATCGTTAAATTACTAAATAAGGAATGAAAGTGGAGGGAGAATTACTGACTTTATGAGCTTAGAAGGATTATAAAAGGAAAATTGTGGACAATTATATATCATCAAAATAGATAACCTAGACGAAATGGACAAATTCCTAGAAAAGACACAAACCACTGAAAATGACTCAAGATTAAATCTCAATACATCTATAACAATTAAAGAGGTTTAATTCCTAGTCAAAAAGCTTCCCACGAAGAGAAGCCCAGGCCCAGTGGTTTCACTGGTGAATTCTACTAAACATTGAATGAGTTTTAAAACCAATCCTTCACAAACCCTCCCCAAAAATAGAAGGAACACTTCTTAACTCATTCTGTGAGGCCACCAATTTTACCTTGATCCAAAAGCCAGACAAAGTGATCATAAGAGAGCTACTGGCCAACATCTCTTACAAACATATAGATGCAAAAATCCTCAACAAAAGACTAGTAGTGAATAGGCCCCAGCAACAAAGAAAGGATTATATACTGAGACAGGATGGGATTTACCTCAGGAATGCAAGATTGGCTCCACACATGGAAATCAGTGATATACCATATTAATGGGAAAAAAAGGACCAAAACCACATGATCCTTTTAACAGATGACAGAAAAAGCATTTGACAAAATCCAATACCCTATCATGATAACAAATGCTCAACAAACTAGGAAGAGCAGGGAATTTCTTCAATCTGATAAAGGGCAAAAGGGCATCTACAAAAAAACCTCACAGCTAACATCATACTTAAAGGTAAAAAATGGAAACCTTTGCCACTAGGATTGAGAAGAAGACAAAGATGTCCACTCTTGCCCCTTTCACTTAATACTGTACTATAGGTTCCAGCAAGTGTAATTAGGCAAGAAAAAAATAAAATAAAAAGAAAAGGGAGAATTATTGGAAACGAAGAAGTAAAATGATTTCTATTTGCAGATGACATGATCTTATATATGCAAAATCCTAAGGAATCCATAAAAAGCCCAGAGATCTAATAAATGAGTTCAGCAGTTTTAGGATACAAAATCAATACATAAAA